AAAAAAATAGCACCATTCGATTCAGCGTCATCGAATTACCATTATATCAAATTTTGCCCGGCTAGCTAAATTTTCCAAGTTTTCCTCTTATTGACTGGACTATACTATTAATCGATGAAAACGATTTCACCAAAATGGCGTCTCTATCGGATAAATCAAACGAAAAGAAAATTGTACAAATACAACAAACGGACAAATTTGTATTCGATTTCATTTGAAAATCGTGGTCTTTTATATGTAAACAATTTTCTTCATTCGTAATAAGCAAGTCAAAATGAGTGGAACACGCGTATGTTATTCAATGCCAGACAAGATGCGTAACGATATTGCTTGATTCGAGAATTAGGCAAAATGCAATAGAAAGGAGGGAAATCGAGTCGTCGACGTAGTCATCTTCTTCCTCGATTCATAATTACTAATCATTCTATTTATTTTATAATTTGTTGAAAGATATACTCTTTTCTATTATTGCGGAAGCACATTTTTTTAAGGTTGAATTTGTACTCGTGATGATCATTTTGATAAATGCTTTTTACAAAGATTGAATCAAACATTTGAGTCAATAGCAAAATGTATTTACATTTTTATTAAACCGTGATATCAATAAGATTCGTTAATTCTTTTTTAATGTTAGATTTTGTAATAAATGATTTCGTATGTATACTTTGAGTCGAATACATGCGAGTGGTCAAGAAAAAAATATCCATTTACCTTTTCCTTGTCCTTCTTTCCTCCGTTGAGACGTTACACGGCAACTGCGTGTAACTCATTAAGAATTTCATTGAATTATTAATTAGGTATTCGACGACGACGACGACGATGAAGACACACGTGACCTATAATACGAGCGTCTGATTTGCGTGCTTTGCACGCGTGTTTTACAAGTTACTTTTCTTGTTAGTAAGGAGGAAATGATTCCTTTTAGGTATCACGATACTAATTACTTCAATTGTATCTTCTAATTTTGGATAGTCTTGAAAATTCGATAAGATAACGCACTTAAACATTACAAAGAAACGCGTATTTAAATACAAATACACGTGTAAATTGATAAATTAAATAAATTCAGAACAAAATATTGACAAAAACAATTAAGAAATGATTCAACGTTTAAGCAAAAAAAAAAAAGAAGCAATAAAAGGAAACATTGTAATTCAGTCATCATCATCATCATCCGCAAGTCATGTTGTAATCGTTCGTGTAACGCATTGTTTTAAAGAAACAATAAATATTCTTTCGAGACAGAGAACTGTTAATTATTTCGTACGTTTTCAAGGCCAAATCTATGTGCATATATTCTCTTATATTATATATGAATGTATCGTCTTAAACGAATCGCGTTGCATTAGGAATGAAATATGATCCTGCTTTGTAATATTCTAACGAGGACTTTACACGAATCTTTTACAATTGATCGAAAATGAGAATTACGAAGAAAGTTCAAGCAACTTGTGAAAGTTTTATATCGATGAGCGAAGGTAAGGACAAACAACTGTGATCAGAAAATATTTTATTCATGAAAAAAAGAATATATTTCAGTTGTTTATGATTCATAAAGAGAAGAACCCGGGGCAAAGAGAAAACATGTACAGCACTGGAACGGCGGCTGGCAGGTCGGCATGGTGGAGGTAGAGGTAGAGGTAGAGATAGAGGTAGAGGTAGAGGTAGAGGTAGAGGTAGAGGTAGAGGAAGAGGAAAGAGGAGGAGGTGGCAGGGGACACCTAATGGTCCCTTCCCTTATCTCCTTCTCTCTTCTTTCGATCTCCTTCCTTCGTCTTTCTTCTACTTTCCGTCTCTCGCTGTCTTTGTCTCTCTTTTTTATTGGATAGAACGACACGACGCCTAGAGCTTGACGTTACACCTACAACCTCGTATCTAGCAGGAGAAACGTAGCTGATGTATCTGTTATCTCTTTGTATATGTGTAGAGAAAAAAGAGCGTGCGAGCAAGAGAGAGAGAGAGAGAGAGAGAGAGAGAGAGAGAGAGAGAGAGACAACAGACAGACAGACAAACAGACACACACACACACACACAGGTTACATATACATGAGATGTAACGATGTATGTGTTCGCTCATAGCCGGTTAATACCAGCACTGAGCGAGTTGCCTACCTGATGCCCCCGAGAACGCGAGCTCGAACAAATCACGTGGTCTGTTGAACGCAAAGGATGTTTCTGGGATCGCGAAGTCAGTATTCGACGGGCCGTCCTCCGAGCTGGAGGAAAAAAGACGAAGGTAAACGAGAACTTATGATCTCACGAAGACCCCTTGTGGAAACAGGCAAACAGAGACGGAGAGAGGACTTTGAAGAGTACTAGTAGTAGTAGTAGAAGTAGTAGTAGTAGTAGTAGTAGTAGTAGTAGTAGTAGTAGTAGTAGTAGTAGTAGTAGTAGTAGTAGTAGTAGGGAGGATATCTTGCGAAGGAAGCCGCTCTCGATCGTTGTTGGATACCGCAACACTCTCCTACCGATATGCGTTAACCGAGAACGGGGATATCTTTTTGAAAGTTCTTTTTCTGTGGTTTTCCTTCTTTCTTCCTGTTACGTGAATTATTTGTCGAGCGACTTCGAAAGATTCTACATCGGTTTGCTTCGTTTCCTGATACATCTTTTTTCTTAAACTTGTGATAAAATGGATAAAAAATTTTTAGTGATTTTATCGAATACATTACTCGACGAGAGATAAAACACAAATCTGATCGGATCGATTAGAAAATTCTTCGTCTGACGACGAAGAAGGAACTGCGTTTAAAAGAGAGAAAAAATATACAAGAAGGGACGAAGAGATTTGCAGGTAAGAAAAAGAGAATAAAGGATCGAGAGTGGGATATTAAAGGAGAGAAAAAGAGAAAGAAAAAGCAAATCGGGAATAATAAAACTCGTATGAGTTCGAGAGAGATCTCTGGATGCTTGTTGAACTAAAAGAATCCTATTTTTTTTTTTGCTTATGTGTGTATTTTCATTTGGAAAATACAACCTGGTAACGTAGGAAAGGAAGGGGAAAAGAAAAAAAAAGGTTCGAAAGGTTTATCGAATGATTTCCTGGTAACTATTTATATCGCATCAGTCGATGACGCATCTCGAAGTATCAAAGTTACGACGCGACGGCGTGTGCTACGAGATTCCTCGTAGATACGAAGAAGTTCGAGAATGTGTGTAACGACGAAGAAAACAACGTAGGCGTGTTTTGCTACAACGAGAAGGATTGAGAATACCTTGCATGCTGACGTTCCGTTGTGAAAGAAAGAAAGAAAGAAAAGAAGGTACGATGTAAATAATTACTTTGTGATAAGCCATATCTATTTCTCGGCATTACGAGAATAGTCGAGTTCTATTTGATAAGAAAAGATTTTAAATTTGGATATTCGACGATAATCGAAGTAAGATGCAGTTAGCAGCAACTCAAAGACCTCATCCACCACCAGTACCACCTAGACCAAGTCGACAGGTGGTAGCTGAAGCACTGAAAAGATCACCCAGACCACCCTGTCCTACCAGACAGGCACCACCACCTCCAAATACCAAACCATGGGGATTTGATCAGAATGATCAACAGCAGCAGCAGCAACAGCAAGAAGGATGTCCAGGTGCTGGACGTACTATAATCTACGAATCCATGAAAGCTGAAAGAAATGATAGCCCAGCAAGTACCGGACCGATTCAGCTTTACGACAAACATCAGCAACAGCAACAAACTTACGTACCGAGTGAAAGGAACGAAAACAACAACGACGATCGTCGTGAAAATCTACGAGAAAGGCAGCACCATCAGCCTATCCTCGAGCAAAATGATATTTCTATGGAGTCGGTAGTCGTACGGGAGAAAAGAGGCGGCGGTAGAGGCGGAGGCGGAGGTGGAGGAAGAGGTGGAAGAGGAGCCCCTATCGAGGATCCTCGACCAGAGGGACAACGTCTCGAAAATCGTGCAGATTTCAAGGATTTCAAGGATCAATCTAATTCTCAAAGTCGACGGACATTTGGAAAAATAGATGTTGACTCATCTGGCATCAAAGGTATCAGAACAATCGATTTCGAAATATTGGATAAAGAAGACAATGTGTTGGGAATAACAAAAAATCCAATTAGGTCAAACGTTTCGTTCGAAGACGAACGTCATTCAAGTCCAGAAACTAAGATACCGGGTATAGGAAGTAATAATGATATAGGATTCAGAGGAAGATCAAGAATCAGGCCTGAGAAATCCTTGAACATGGAGAAAACGATGAGCAAGTTTGATGGGCGGCCGATGACCGTACGAAAATCACCTGCTGCAAACCAAGAATTTATTGCTCTATCTCGAAAAGATTCTAGTTCCCACGAATCTTATAATAATAGTAATAACAATAATAATAATAATAATAATAATAATCATGCTAATAACAACAACACTACTACTAATAATAATAATGATGATGATCGTAATAATGATGATGATGAGGGTGATAAACAAGACGAGAAAGAGTCGAGTATAACAAATGAGAAACATGGAACAGTAGTCCTGGTCGAGGAATCTGAACATGGTAAAGCTATGTACAACGACGAAGAAGAGGACAATGACAACAACATTCATCGACAGGATTGGCTCGAGGCTGGTGTCCGTTATTCCTCCACGCAGATCACTCTGCAAGGAGATGAAGGTGCCGACGGTCTCTCATCTTCGTTTGTTGACGTTGAACGCGTTAATGGATACGATGATCGTCCCGAGGACGAACGCACCGTCGACCTTGACTTCGTCAGGTATTACTTTATCAGATTAACTGTACCAGAGGGACCATCTTGTGGTCCATCATTCCAATCGAGTTCAAATAGCTTCTGGCGGAATGGTTGAACGTTTATTTCATTATTACATGCGTGGCCACTCACAATGGTCATTTTTCATTTTATTTTACGATTATTTAGTAACCCTTTCATTAGTATCGTTTCATATAAATTCGATCGTATATACGGATCTTTGTCCGTATATGGGTCGTTCATACAAAGGTTTCAAGATTGTTCAATAATTGTTTAAATATGATCATGATTGTTGAGAATAAATAGGTCGGAATAATAGGTTGGAATAATAGGTTGGAATAATAGGTCGGTATTGATTCGATCATTTTTCAATGTAAATTTATTTTCAATATCGAAAGAGATTTGCTTTACGAATGTGTCATATTGTAAAATAAGATCACGTTAAAAATGATAGTAGTATTTTCTTTAAATAGACAAACAACATTTATGAGTTTGCGAGGTAGATGTTGGTGAACACGATTTATGCGAGCGAAAAATCTAGGGTTGCATCGAGGATCAACGGAGGCTGTTTCTCGATCGTCCTATTTTGTCTCTTTATCGTTTCTCAAAGCGTTCGACCGTGACAGTAGCTTCGATACTCGTTAACGGTTCTATTCATCGGAAGAAATTCGAGATAAACTGCACGATAAATTTATTACGTTTATTTCACCAATACTATATCAATAGTTTCGATAACAAATTACGATATTGAAAGATACGTAAGAATTATTCGGGTACTCACACATCAAAATATATTTTTGTTAAGCTTACAGCGGCGCGTTTTATTACTTCACAAGGCCCTGGGCAAATTTGAATTTAGGGGCTTCACGTATAACATTGCATTTTTATTTTGGTCCATATTTTTTGTTTTTTCTCCAGTCCCAGATCTGGGAACGAAATTTAATTTCGTATTTTTTTGTTGACTAGAAAAATGAGTTTATAGAGTATTGATTTGGGGACTTTGAGGGCCCCAGCCAATTGCTCTTTTTGTCCATAAGATAACACACCATTGTAAGCTTGTAACAAAAATTATAATTATTTTTTTCTTTTTCTGTTACTGAAGATTAGCAACAAGATACTTGCTTACATAACCCATTCTATAAAGGCATCGACGGAACGTATCAACGCTGACGTATTAATTATCAAAGTGATCGCGATGCTTCCAGGCCTAGAAACAATTTAAACGTTACAATCTCATGCTTGCTTTAGAAATTCTTATTCGAGAACAGTAGTCATTCGTGAGGCACGCTATTATATCTCGGACGCTCCCTTGAACTCAACTAAATCAACATTATATTGTAGTATATGTTTCAATCATTAATTTCACAATGTATGCATGTATGCGAGTACATTATGTATGTCGTTAATTAAAATTTATTTAAAAAAATAAAATACCTAGCTTGAAAGCACGCGAAAGTTCCACGTATCGATGTTTCATCTATTTAAATTCATAAATTAATTTAAATTGAATTAAATAAAATGTAATGAAATTAAATGTATTATTTCGTTATGGTGTGCCTTGGCGCGAGTAATAATTTCCTTAAAAACTCGTCAGTCGTTCATACGAGCCTTTGCATGGGTGTGACTCGTATATAGGTCGCTAATAATAAAAGGGTTAATTCAAATTAAATCGATTTCCAAAAATTCGTAAAGAATTATTATATTCAATTTAATATACAGTTAGTATGTGTTAATTCTTATTTTTTTTTTTTTTTATCGAAAGAAATTCTACAAAGCAAATATAGAAGAAAGAATTTATTTGGAAAAAAGGCCGAAAGAAAAGAAGCCGGTAGGGTCGATGACTCATTCAGTCAATTTTTTTCTCCCCTTCATTTTCTGTATCTCTCTACCCCCCCCCCATCCCCTTTACTTTCTGCGGAGATCGGAAGCTTGGGGAAGGCAAAGACCGATCGATTTTTATTCCACAAAGCCGCTTATAACGGTACGTCCTTTCCTTTCCTCTTTTAACCGCAAAGAACAACTCGTTATCTTTGGTTCTCTCTCTTTGCTTTCGCAGCATACAGGAGAGGATCGCGATGTCTTCCCTGCAGGGGCTACCACCGTTGCCAAGAAGTCTCAGTGGATTCAATTTGAGCGGAGCTTCCGAGCCACCCCCACCACCTACGAGATCATCCAGCAAATCACAAAGAGGCGGGAAAACGTCCATTCAAACTTCTACTTCGAGACCTTCTCCACCTGCGAGACAACTCACCACGTTGGATACTCAATTAGCGATACTTAGAAGAGAAATGGTGATTATCGAATACTATTTTTTCAAAGGAAACATTTTATTAACACGTTGAACGCGAGCGATCGTCGTGAATATTCTCGTCTTACATACGCGCACATGCAACTTATGCAACATAACAGTTAAAAATGTTTGCTTTTATCCGACAGTAATGTTCAAATAACTTGACACAAAAAGTTAATCGTCTTGTTACACGAGCAAGTAGATTTGACATCGCATTCTGGACCACTTATTCGTCTTTTAGAGTAGCGTAATAGTTTCAATTATCCGCGGAGAAAGCGTTTCAAGAATTCGATAATAGATCTCGAGTATTTTATATTAAGGATCGTTTTCTACGAAAATTGTGGATCCTTTAACGGATATGATCGTTAGTTCTAATGGAATTCATTAATCGCGTATACAGCGTTTCTTGTAGAAGGAAAAAAAAAAGAATGGGTGAAGAGAGGAAGAGAGAGAATCTGTTTACAAGTCGATGGAAATTTCCACGATGTTTCTGATTAATCCTATACATTTGTTGTTTCTACGTCTTTTTTTTTTATAATTAATCAATGTAGAATTTTTCTAGCAAACTCGAGAGTCATTCGAAAATGCGCGATTGACGTAATCGTCGTTCTTGTCAGCTTGGTTATTATTTTGTTTAGTATTAAGTCACCTGTTCCTCTGTATTTTGTTCACAATTCTCTCGTGTTTCTTTCTACTCGGGGCTCGACCCGTTACCTCGAGGCCACGGTTGTGCGTGGGTAAACTGTAGAGTACAATGAATATGAATTCGACGGCATTCTAAAAGCGTCGGGAAATGAAGCGATGAAAATACGGAGTCAGAGAAAAAGAGAGAGAGAGAACAGAAAAGAAAAGGACACGTACAATTTTTTCTTTATCCTTTCCCCTCCACACCCTCCTACCTTTCTTACATTATCATTAAAAAGCAAACAATGGAGTTGTCATTTATTAATGCACATCATTATTGTTGTTTACATTTATGAAAGTTGACGTCTGCAAATAAATTGTTTAACTTAATTACAGTCACTGATCGTCTTTATTGTATTAAGCAATATATTGAAAAATTATACATCGCATTGTTGATATCGTAGAAATCGGACCTTTGGTAAAAATATATATATGTATATGTTAAAGTTGGCTTAATATTTTGATAGTCAATCCAGACGAGAAGTGAACTGGCACAGCCGCTCCCACGCTGCATTCCCTCAGGCGTGACTCCCCCACCTTCGTTTGGTTTTGGTGGTAGCCTCTTCTCCATCCAGTCTTCCTTCTCTGCATTTTCTCTCTTTTTCTCTCTTTCTGTCTTCACGTTCACCATTCTCGTTCCCATTCTCATTTTATGCTTCTTCTCTCTTTCCCTCTCTCTCTCTTGTAGTGTGTTCCCTCTTCTGCCATTCCCACGAGTACAGGCACGGCGGCGTTTGGAAATGTTGCACTTCGGTTCATAAATCACGAGTAAGCATTTTACCTCGACTCGCACGGTAAAAGTGAATGTTGGACGAGATAGACCCTCCAGGCGCTTTAACACAATATTTCTTCTTACTCAAGTATTTCAGCGTATATTTGGAATCGAATAAAACTTTGAAATAATCCTTAGGACCTAGGATAACTATATTTTTTCTTTATCTTCTTGAATTTCTCTAATCCCACAGGTACGGTCGTGTATTTTAAATATGACAGCGCTCTTTCTTTCAATATTTTGTTGATTTATGATTTTCATTTTTGACTTTAAATTGCACCTGTCCTACATTATGCATTTCAAACATTTACTTTTGTGTTTCAGTTTGGCCTACGACAATTGGATCTTTCTCTGCTTTCGCAACTTTGGTCCCTGAACGAATCAATCCAAGAATTTCGACAACTATTGCAGGAACAAGAAGACAGAGCTCCATCACCATCGCCAAGTAGCGAAGAAGGTGATGATACTTCTTATGGGATACATCCACCACCAGCACCAAGAAGATCAGCACCTGTGGTGCATCATCATCGACCACCTAGGCCACCTAGACCACCAAGACCACCACCCAGCGACGAGTCACCATCCAGCGAGGAATACGGAGCCGTTTGACGGAGGATTCTTCGTAAAAGAACGAAAAGATCTCCGGTGTGTTCCACTAACTCTATAGAGTTCCTGTAAAAGAGAAAATCTGCACGAAAAGAAAGAAAGAAAAGAAGGGAGAAAGACGTTGAAAATCCTTTTTCGAAACTCTCTTTTTGTCTCTTTCTCTTTGTCGTTGAAAAAGAGTCTTGATGATAAAAGAAAAAGGGATCTTAGTTGAAATTCAATTAAAGATAAGCTATTATCGCCTCGATCAAAGAGTCTATATCGCTTGTGATAGAGATTATTAATATAAAAAAAAAAAGAAAAAGGAATAACGTTGAGAAGAAGAAGAAGAAAAAGAATGAATGAATGAATATCATGAAAGCCATGTGTTCAAGGCTGCCTACCTCTAAGCATTACATCGATTTTAAAACGTTTTATTGAAAACGCGCCGCGTCGTGTGTTGTTCGTACGAAGGGTGGAGTCAATTAGTAAACAAATTTTGTCCGTACGTCGAAAGGCACCCATACGTGATAGTCTGATGTTATATACCGGACCGTTTTTCTCACTTATTATCCAAGAAAGTCTCTTCTAGAGTCACATAGCCCATGCTGATTTAAATCGCAGACAACGATACTACTATCTATTCGAGCTATTAGATAAGATAAATATTCTTCCCGCCGTTTGACGGTCACTGTTGTTTTTAGGAGCCTTCGAAAAACAGCAATGATTTATATAATAGCGCAGCAGAGAAATTGTTTTTGTACGAATAGAGAGATTTCTCTGCTTCGCCGTCATCGTCATCGTTGTCGTTGTCTATGTTAGGAAAAAAATCTATCATAGGACACGTCCAAAGTCTTTTGCGACAGGCAGTAGTAGCTAGTGAGTTCCAAAGAACTGTTGTCTTTTTTCCGTTTTGGTCAAGGAAGGAAAAACTTTCTCACGTTAACGCGTTATTACGTCCACTACACAGAGTTTTCTCTTTCTTAGTTAGAGTAGATAAGCGTGTAAAGATTATCATCGTAGAATTTAAGAAGATAAACACGGGGAGTTGTTGACTCGGCATCATTTTCTTTGTCTGTCAATTTTTTTTTATATATAGGCTTGTTCTGAAACGTGTAAAATAATGATTTACCTAGTGTTATGCAAATAAATGAAAGGTGATTTAATGATATATATATATATATATAAATGAATGATACGTTTTGTCTGCCCGGTCGTCTATTACTGTGTCATTACACACGTATATGCACATATGCGTTTGTTGACCTTTTATCGAATACCGTTGTTCCATTCCGTTGTCTGATGAAGTACCGTCGAGACTGCCGCGCCTCCTTGGTTGCATACATACGATACTTATATGCAAAGCATATTTTTTTGTAACTACGTTTATTAGCAAGAAGTGCACGTTACTATATGGGGGCGAGGTCAGCGAGAGTCACGGAACTGATCTTACAATTAGTTCTTCGCAATGCCAAGATCGATTTCTCATATTTTATTTTCTTTTTGTTTTCACAGATTAAAAATATATCAATAATAATCTAATTTATATATTAAGAATATTTTTGATCAATATTTATTACATATACGTATATATATCGTCATTGACAATTATTTTTCTTTTTTCGTTTGTACGTATTTGTGGTTTGAATCGTTCCGCGTTAATTGTTGTAGAACACGTTCTTTACGGTAACACTAGATGGAGCTCGTCATATTAGTAGAGGACGCTAGTTGCATCCGAGTCTTTGCGGTTGTTAAATGCACGCGTGATTAAAGGTGCGAGATAGGTTAGGTTTTAAAAAAGTTCTTTTTCACAAAATAATCAGTGATTTTAAAAAATAATTAACAATGGCAGATATGCATACGCATAACGACAGAGGTAAGAAGCGAAAGAAGAAACGTTCAAACATGCAAATGGCGAAAAAATTTGCTCGTCGAAGATATCACGGAACGGATCTTGATACGGAAACGTATCAATACATGGTTCGTATTTTGGAATTAATACGGGAAGATTTTCCGAGCGTTGACGAAAAATTAATTTTTATTAATAACGTGTACGAACAATCCGTTGGTCATGAGGTTGAATATTCTAAAAATCAAGTTGGTTCGAGAGTCTTGGAATCGCTTTTGAAATATGCAAATTTAGTATCAATTCAAAGGCTTACGGATGCTCTCAGTTCTTCCCTGAGACCGATAAGTTGTGATACATTTGCCAGTCATGTTTTGGAAAAAATCATTGTGGTCTGCGCGGACAGAGGAAACAAATCCAATACTTTGTCACAAACATCAAAAATAAAGGAAACCGAGAAAGTACAAGACATCATTATAGATGTGAAAGAATCTGAAGTAAAATTATACAATGATATAGTTATAAAGTTAAGCAAATATTTAATAAATAATTTAGAAGAATTTGTTTGGGACACATATGCTAATCATCTCTTACGAACCGTAATGGAATGCCTAGGTGGATTAATAGATACAAGCGATGGACAGAATAAAACAAAGCAAATGTTATCTACTATAGAAAGACGAGAGGTCATACAAGAGTATAAAGATCTTCTAATTGACGCATGCAACAGGTTGTTTAACTGGCCACAATTTCTTGAGTTTGGTAAAGATGAATTAACTTCAGGATTGTTACAAAGTATTTTGTATTCGCTAAAAGATGTAGACAAGAAGTTAACAGAATCTTATATCACAAAGATTATAAAGGAGTGTTTCACTTCTAAAGCGGATGGAAAATTGTCTAATATTTTCGACTGCGAAAGTTCTACCAGACTTTTGGAAGCTTGTCTTGCAGTCGCTGAATCAAAATCTTTTGATCATATTTATAAGGAATATTTTAAGTGTAATTTAAAAAGCTTATGTACAATGCAGGGTACTAATTTTAGTATACAGAAATTATTAGATCATTGTGAATCTAAAGAAACTTTTGAAGAAATATTTGAGGAAATTGAAGCGCTTCTTTCGAATATTTTACAAACAGGCTATACGGGAATTTTAGTAAGTATAGCTAATGCATCTAAGAGGTTGCAAACTAAACAGGGTGCATTTGTAACTATGATTATTAAGATGCTCGAGTGCGATACATCGGAAGAAAAACAATATCAAATCATTAAATGTTTTGCTACATTGAAGAAACAAAACGAATTGGAATCATTGGAAGAAAAAGATCAAACGGATTTGCCTATCCATTTGCATGGAAGTTTGATCGTACAAGCAGTACTTAACTTCAATAAACCAATCAAACTTGTTAACTCTTTGTTGGGCATGAACAACGAACAATTGTTAAATTTAATAAGTAATCCGAAAGGTAGTCGCATCATAGATGCTTTTATAGATAGCAAATATATTGGAGAAAAAAGTAGAGAAAAACTTGCCAAGAAATTGCAAGGTTATTGGGCCCAATTAGCTCAAAGCACTCATGGGTCTAGATGTTTGGACAAAATCTGGCTTTGTTCGCGTCAAAAGCAAAGAATGTTTATCATGGAAGAATTGTCAGCTGCTGGTGAAATCTTACATTCCAGTAAATCGGGTAAAATTATATCCAATAAATTAAACGTATCTTTGTTCACTAGAAATAAAAAGGATTGGTGTGAATCTCAAGGAAAAGAGGAAAAAATGAAGGCTCTTTTTGCCGATATAATCAAAAAGCCTCCTATGCAAAGTTAGTGTTCAAAAAAGAGTTTCTACTGAAAAAATTTAAATGACTTTCTTTTTTATATGTATATATATATATATAAATACGTATTAAAGAAACGTTTAATTAGACAGATTAATTCGTATTTTCTTTTTTTATTGTGACATAGAATAATCATATATATATATATATAATGTTTTATTTCATAAATACATTTCATAAAATTCATTGTATGTTCCTGCAATGCAATGTGCCCGGAAGGAATTACAATAAATCGTTATTTAAGTTACAGAAAAATTTTCTAATATGTATAACCAATAAATTCGTCTCCTTGCAAACATTGCATGACTAGACTTCAAGATACACAATTAATTATAATCCGATTAATCGAAGTAAGAATCTCGTTACATCTGTCATTATAATCGTTAAGTCTATCAATTGACTAGGGTAAAATCGATGTAAGCCGTTTGTTGTGTACGCTTTCATTAGAAGTAATCAAATTTCTTATCACGCGTTGGATCTTATTGTTAGATTATAATTGCATCTTGATGAAATATTAATCCTTTCGTTACGGCATTCTTTGGCGTGAGTATCGTTTCATATAAATTCACGCGTACGTGCATATCATCGCATAGTAAGATCCCTACATGGGTTGCTAGTAACGAAAGGATTAAGAGAGAGAAAGAGACAGAGAGGAAGAGATACAGAGACAGACAGAGATGGCGAATAAATAAAACAATAAGATATTGATAATATCGGACAAATTTCATATAGGAAAAAACATCAATTTTTGGTACAAAGAATATCTTATTTAATTTTGTCAAATAGAATTTGATATTTAGATTGAAACGATTTCTGTTTAATACGTAAGATAACGTATTTGATCAACTATGGATATTGAAAAATCGATAATTGCCATTGAACAGCAGAAACTTTGACACCAATTTTTCGTTCGAAGTGCATGCACATTTACAATGTAAATCGTTGACTATTAATTAGCAACATAGATGACTAATGGTAGAAGCCTAGGACGCTCGTCATACCCAACAAACGTCATACGTATTCGAATACGTCCACACATTTCTATTACATTTAATTAACATGGTATTTACAAGAACTATACAAGGATTAGTTTTGTTTTCCAGTTGATCGCATTATCAAGAAGATGATCTTACAAGGCGAATCGTAACTTATTTGATTACTCAACATTTTCGATATAGCTTTTCTCCGATATATAACATAAAAGTATTTAACAAATTCATCTTACGATAAGAATAATAAATCACTAGGATAATAAAATGCATCCTTGTATCAATCGTATTCTGAAAACACAATCCATACTTTAAAAGAAAATCTTTTGAAAAGAAAATAGAGAAGAAGTAGGAAGAAGAAGGAAGAAGAGTATGAAAGTGAGAGGAAAATATAGCAGAGTCCTTAACAAAGTAAGAAATCTCTCTGAGTTTTCTGGTAGGGAATATCAACGTGGATCGAAATAGATCGGTCTGGCTAATCGTAGTGGTACGTGACTCTTTCCCTCATGTCGTCACTTTCCTTTGGAGATGGTATTTGCTGTGGTTGCCGACACGGTCGAACCTTCCGCGTCATTAATACTTCCTGTTACGTTAGCTGTACCGATTCTAGGTGGACTACGCGAAGACGATCTTCGAGGTTCTCGTGGTAAAGGATTATTGCACGTTGCATGATGTCCACCAGCTTCCCAATCGCGATGTTGACAAAAGGAACCACAATATCTTGCGATCCCACATCCACCACAAGTTTCCAATGCCGGTCTGCCACAGTTCCAACAGCTCTGTGAAAATAATTCATTCGATCCATTGGTTTAGCCTAATTTACGTTTATTGTTAAAAATATAACGAAATATTGTACATACCGATCCTACTATATTAGTCAAATGCGTATCTTTGTCATCTTCGGTAGCGGACGGTGCCGAGTTAGAAGTAGTTGTAGGTGTTGGAGCGGTTCTACCACTGGTCTCCACCACATTGGAACTTCCGTGAACCCTAACGAAAGAAGCTTGACGGACACCGACGTGACTTCTTTGAGATAGTGGTAAATCCAAAAGTCTATGTACTCTCAAACGTTCGCTTGCTCTCGATTCGGCAACCGCTACCGCAACTGCTCTTTGAACTTCAGCAACAGCTGCTCTTTTCACTTCCAATACGGCCTCCTCTACAAATGATAGATATAATGTTAGCTTCAATGAATAATGTAATTAATAATCATCGTTTAAATCGCTTTAAAATTACCTGCTCTTCTTTTCACCTCGGCAACCCTATCCTCGGTAGCTCGAATAGTTTGAGCAACAATTTCTCCAGACAAACGTTTTAAACTACCATCTCTGTCACCAGTCGAAGATTCCACTTGAGCGCCATTGGTCGAAGGGTTATTGCCAGCAGTATTGTTGGCATTGCCATTCTGTGCTATCACGTTTGCCGGTTGTACAGGCGTCGATGCGGGACTGGAACAGCCTCGTCTTTGAAGGATAGCCAAAGCTCTTTTCGTCTTCTCTACCATGCCAAGAATACAGTTCAACATAACGTGTATGTTTTTCCATTCGTCGTCGAAGCTAGAACCGTTTTGAACGTGATTCAGCTGTTGTTGCTGTTGGGACAAATGATGGGGCGTCGAGAAAGCGTTTATCTGGTTAATTTGAACCAAGCTCGGTGGTATGGGACTAGGCCCGTGGCCATGTCCGTGTCCGTGGCCTTGAATAGATCCACCTGCTGCGTGAAGTGGATGATACCAGCAATAAGATGAAGAGTTTTCCGTTTGTTGCGGTTGTTGCTGTTGTTGCTGATGCTGTTGTTGTTGTTGTTGTTGGTGATGGGCTCCCCATGGATTATGTCTTTTACCGTAAACTGGTATATCCTCGAGCAGCGTACCGTTTTCGTAATATCTACAAATGAAATTAAAGAGCTAATTGATTTATAAATTCTTTGGGTCGACTTTATTAGAGTTTGTAAGAAACAAATACAATGTATCTGTCCGATACGATGATACCCCTATTAAACTTCGTACACGTTACACGTGTGGTTTGCCATTCTAAAAATATATCCTACGTTAAATGCGTCTAGTAGAAAACACATCCTCCAAACCGTCCATGTACTTACTCGAAAGCATATGTGCCGTGTAATGTGTATGTCGTAAAACATGCGTGCAATATGGTATGCATCAAAGAAACATGTGCATAAAACAGTCCCGCGGGTGTGTGTGTGTATGTGCGTGTGTATTAAGATGCATGCATATAACGCGACATGTGTTCCGAAATCCGTATAATCTATCTGTTTTACATTGAAAAAAAAAGAAAAAAAAAAGAAAAAAAAAAGAAAAAAAAAAGAAAAAAAAAAGAAAAAGAAAAGAAATCTTTCTAGATCGTTGAAAAATATTAATTATACGCATCGCGCGTGAGATTTGCTTCCTAATATGTTTCTACTGCCTCGTTTCCTTATTAACGGGGATTGATAAGAATTACGATCGTAATAAAACATTCGTATCTTTCTAAAATTTGAAAAATAACACTCGACTTAGAAATACCCAAAAAAAAAATTAATATCCAGCCAGAGACTCGAAGTAATACTTTGAGGGGTTAAATTTATTTTGAATAGTAAAAAGATAGTGGTTAACAATAGTCCAATTTCAAAGTAGTTAGCTGGTTCATTAGGTAGGTAGGTAGGTAGGTGTGAAGTATAGTTGAGATTCAAAGACAGCTGGCCTTCGGTACGGTTCAACGAATAGGTATCAGGGACTGATCTTGCGAGCATGTATTAGTCCGGAATATGCCAATAGGTACTCGAGGCAAGTTTGCTTGCTCCAACGTTAGCAGGTCGAGCTGAGGTAAAGAGGGTAGGTAGGATGAGATCTAGGGAGAAGGCTGCGAGGGAAAGGTGAAGAGGAAAAGGGGGAGAGAAGAGGATGACGTTCACGAAAGGTGGTACTCCGATGATATATGGAAACGTCACCAGCAGACATATCGAGAGGACGCCAGCCAGGGTGGCATTGCCAGGGTGGCATTGCCAGCGTGCACACCACGTTTTGTCGCCTTCGAATTCGCTTCGTCGCCCCAGCCTGTTCGCCTGAGTATACGTGTCCTCACCGGAACTAACCACCCTTCCTTCCACCTCTTGGTGGTCATCGAACTCTGATCTCTCTCAGTACTATCTATCCTTTTCTTTCTATCTCTTTCCTTCCCTCTAAGCAACTCACCACCACTGGAGGGTGATGGTCTCTCTCTCTCTCTCTCTCTCTTTCACTCTGTACTCTTCGATCCTCATCCTTAACCCCTTTCAAGGAACACGATGCTTAATCGAACACCTGCTTCAATGAGCCACGTTGCGACGAACGAGGGCTTCCTTTTCCCTACCGTGTTACGAATTACGTGCAGACGTAGTAGCTCAGTGTAATTGATTAAACAACCTTATTAATTATTTGTCATCGAAAATAGAACGGATTATTATCGTTGATTATTTGAATTTTAAACACCTAGTATCGCAATTGTTTAGTTATTTTAATTAGATTTTTGTCTATTTTTGACATCACTCTTATATTCTGTCTACTAGCTACATACCGCGCGTATCCTTTGAAAGTTAATTTTAAATAACATTTTTCTACTAATTCTTTTTATAAACTGAATAAAATGTCATGTCAGGGTTGAGCTCATAAGTTCAAAGGGTTGATATTCGTTTCTAGCAAGCACGATCAAAAAGAGAGATGTAAAAGGACTTTTCATTTGAAATGAAATTCGTGGAAGAAGTTGATTCTTTTAAAAGAGATTTAGAGACGACACATTCGGATGTCGTTTCTCACATCAACGCCAAGGTCAGGATCCAAAAGCGTACTCCTCTCGTTTGGCCGCTTACGAGGGTGAGCTTTAGGGCTCGTTCCCTATAAATATCGACTCGCGAGAATTGCAGGCTCTAAGCCAAGATTTTTCGAAAAAACTCTAGTAGATCGTTTGCGGCTTGGCAAATATACTACGCACGCGTGTACACGCAGGTGCGTGGAGTCAGTTATTGCGTGAATTATTGTTATGGATGTGAACGAAGACAGCACAGATATCTTTCCTCGTTCCAATTAATTTAACAGATTCATTTAAAACGTCTTTCAATATTTCAACATCCTTCTTCTACATGTATTACCGTAGATTTTTTTCGAAATTTTCTTCATATTTTATTCGATTAATTTAAAAATAATAGGCGCGATATGTATTCATTAAAATGATTAATCTTATATCTAGCATACTCTGTTTTATTCTTCGATTTTATTATAATCGTCGTAGATTCGACTTTATTTACGCGAATCAATGAAATAATTTAAATAAATAATAAATCTCTCTTTTTTTACGTAAGTTTGAATATGACAAAGTGGTATTTAGTATAAAAGCGTGTTCACTTACGGAGTATCCGAAGCACGACGTTTTGGTGCGTGAGAGGAGGAACCAGAGTAATGGTGCAAGGCGTTAGTGGCATTGTTCGAGTGTTGAATAGCCCCGACATTCGGATTAGAGTTAGAACGCATCGAATAATACGGTGGGCACTGGTTACCGCTGGTGTTTCCACTTCCGAGTCCGTTTCCTCCGTGTTCTCCAAAAATTTCAACGGATTCGCCTGATTGTACCAAGCCGACTGCCTCCAATATCGCCGTTTCGTTATTCCGAAGGAATTGTGCACATGTCTGGAAACAAAAAAAAAAACAAAAAGAAAGAAAAATAGAATCCATTAGGTCGGGTACAAAGTTTCTTCGTATCATATTTTACATTTAAACAATCATTTAGTAGATCGCGTTAATTTTCTTAATCTTTCATCGGATCTGGCACGACTTGCGTAAGTTCGAAAGCTTATATTACTCGTTGAGTAATTAAAAATAAACTATAATAAATAAAATAAATGTGAAATCATAATATAATTCAATGAAAATTATTAGTTATTACGAGCTTGACAGATTATTTGTAAGTTATATGACAAATTTGATAATCCGAACATATTTTCTTGACGTTTATAAGAAAAATAAAAGAAGATTAATCTCGCTCAATTAAGAGTGGCTAGACTGTTAAAGTTTCAAAGTAGCAGCGATTCCAATTAGTTTCGATTTTTAATATTCGTCGGACGCGTTCTTTATCGCCAACACTTCGCGTCTCCTACATCAAAAGTTCTCGTACTATTCCTTTATTCCCAACGTCTTTCCTCTTTACTCTCAATACTGGAATCGGCCTGCCAGGTTGGGATTTATCGCTTCTAATTCAATATCACCAGCCGTCCCTCTTTTCTACTTATACACTTTACTTCCTTTTCCAATTGCTACGAACGCAGTTCGTAATTAACGATCATCGATCCTGACCTTGTTGGAAAATTTTTCAACTTCAATTTTCTTATCTAACGACGTACGGGTGGCTAGATCCTACGCACAAGCTTTTTAACCGATAATTTATTACCTTTCAATAATTCTTTTCTTTTCTTTTCTTCTTTCTTCTTCTCTTTTTATTCATATTTTTTATTCGGCGATTGGGTAAACAAGTACGAGTAATTTTATTTAAAATTCAATGCTGGTGTACGCGTGTCCTATATGGGCCTGCGAAATTTTTTCATGAACGACCCGTATAGAAGTTGCTCGTACACGGATTTCTTTTTTATTATCCTATATATCGTACGATAAAAAAAGTATTTCCATTAGAGATCTTTCTCTTTCTTTCTCGAGTGAGTGAAATAAGATATACGAGCTCCTTGCCATTTATTGCTCCGATTGTTTTCTATAGTTACGTCACTGGACTTACATTAGACGAGATGATACGGTCCAGACGGATGGTGGTAGCCTGTTTCTAACTTTCCGATCTCTTTCTCTAATATCCCCTACTCGATATGTTTACAGAATCTACACCTAGTCTCGAGAGTTTTCGACTATTCTTTATGGAAAATTCAATAAAGAAACTTTTAATACGATAATATTATTAATTTAGATTATATCAATGTAAAATAACAAAGCATTAATATAAATAGCGTAGAAAATAAATGTTCTATTTCAGTTGGAAAAAGAAAAAAAAGAAATTTGCAACGATTTCGAAAGAAAGAAAAAAATAAAAGTCGAAATAAACCCAAGACAATGTTACGTGCCCGGGACTGAAACTTCCAGAAAACATTATTTGCAAGTTTTGTTTTAGCTTTTGGTACTGGCGTCTCGGGGGAAAATGTAAATTTTTTCCATTAATTTACAATTCGTTACTTCGGTGTAACGCGCACGTCAGCTTCTACTACTACTACTACTTCTTCTTCTCTTCTTCTACCTTCGTTCAATCTTAGAGGCAACAGCTGGATGTCGAAGCATAAACGAAAGCCGCAAGATTAATTCTTTTTCACTAGATTTTTATTGTGTTAGTCCTAGGTAATCTAATGACCAACGGCAATATTAAGAGATTTATTGTTCCGAATGACATTTTTTTCCCCGAAAGATAATTCATGATTTTTTTGCATATAAAAACAAAATTTCGTATAAACTAGAAATACTATAATATTAGCCGGAGAAATATTTGTCAATCAATTAACGCGAAATAAATTAGTTAATAGGATTAAGGATTAATAAGGATCCAATCTATTATCGTTGGAAAGTAAAGTAAATCTCGAGGTAAATTAAAAACATGATAAATGTATCCACGCAATCATACAATATATTTCGTGTAAACTAATATGAATGATATTTCTCGGAGAGAAAATAATAAAATCAATGATGTAATAGATTACGAATGTGTCTTTGGAAAATTAGGATCTCTTTGGATCGTAGTAGTAGTAGTAGTAGTAGTTTGGATGATTGACATACCGCGTATTAGTATGGGGGAGTTTCGTGAGATTTCTCTGATCGGAATCGGTCGGAAACGGAGAAGAGAGTGTCGAGGAGTAGCTCGAAGCTATTTGCGTTCGGTCTGATCCTAAGCGATTAACGACTCGTACTACTGCTCGTTCCTACTATTTGCATCTGAACGGGGAAACACACATACGTGAATTACGTAGGTAGTTACATGGATACAGACAAGAAGAGAACACTGAAGGAATATAACAGATAGAGGAGTTTATAAATGTCCGATATATGGTAGACAATACTACTAGCCGGATCAACGAGCCAATAGGTATACGGCCGACCGAGTATACAGGATTACATATACCATTCGTGGATTTAATGCAAATATAAAGGAGAATAACGTGCAGGAGGAATGAGGAGGAGGAGGAGGAGGAGAAGAAGAAGAAGAAGAAGAAGAAGAAGAAGAAGAAGAAGAAGAAGGAAAGGAGGATGGGAGGGATAATTACAAGAACGTGCAACGATGCTCGAAAAGCATAGACAGAGAAAGAAAGAAAGAGAGAGAGAGAGGAAGAGTCTGTCTTATGTCGAGATTATCTCGCCCTTTAAAGCGAGTTATTCTCCTGCTTTTACCTCGGTATATCCGCAATTATTACGATAAAACGAGCGTATAGGTATAAATGGAAAGAAAGAAAAATATGAACGGACATGGGGCTATCCTTTTTTTGTTCTTTTTATTATTTCTAACACTTCGTATCTCTTTTGTTTATTTTAATGATAAACTATTTTTCTCGCAATATATTCGACGTAATATAACAATAGCAACAGCAAATGATGAAGAAAGTTTCACTAGAGAGAGAGAGAGAGAGAGAGAGAGAGAGAGAGAAAGAGAGAGAGAGAGAGAGAGAGAGAGAGAGAGAGAGAAGCTTAGATGAAATTCGAGAGAATGAAGAAATTAAGAAAAAAAGAGAGAGAGCAATGAAAAGAAGGAAAGAAGGAAGAAAGGATGGTTTTGTATCGAGGAGAGTTTCCAAGTTTCAAGAGAGAAGAAAGGTTTTTATGTGGTCGTTCCGTACGTTCGATTCGTTCATCTATCTTGCCCCTCGCGAAGCAGACTGCTAAGCTCCCAGCTACGATCGAGAAAGTAGCCTGGGAAATTAAAACAGGCTGCCAGCCGGTCAGCTTTCGCCGTGTTGATTTTACTCGATCCTCCTGGGCTCGTTGAGTTCTCTTCTTCCACTCCTCTCTTCCCTTCTCTTCACTCCATTCCACGGTACTAACCATAGAAACTAACACGTGTGCACGAGTAACATAAGCGCGATCCAGTTGGTCCTGCCAGGAAGGATGAACGTTGCTACACGTGACGCCTATCCAACCTCCTCCTCTCTACCCTCCTCCCCTCTACCCTCTTACATGCACCGAACGTGATCTTCTCGAATCAAAGAGCTTCTATAATTTTACATTTTTTCTTTTTCTTCTATCCCTTCCTTCTTGTTTCTTCTTTTCTCAATCGTCGAACTTTTTATATTTTTCATGATCGAGTAATTAAAAACTTGAATTTTCAATATATTGAATTTTTCAAATAAATATTTATAATATATTTAAATTAATATTAAATTATATTGTTAATATATATTTTAAATATTTTTATTTGATATGTGTGAGATTTTTCCTTCGCAAACTGCATCAGCGTATTCCATCCACGAAACATAAGAAAAGCAATATTTTCCAAATTGTAAAGAAAAATCGATATATAAGACGATGGCGTGACATAAAAGATCATGTCAATTTCATAGATCATAGAAATACTTTTCAATTGATTAGTGCAGTCCTGGTGTATGCGTGTGTACTTTCTCTTCATTGATGCAGTCACGAAAGAACGTCGTAACGCATATAAATTTGTAAGTCGGTCGAGGGCCCTCCCCCACCCCCAAGGGACAAAAGCAAGAAAGACATCAACGACACGCGACGTCCCTTTAAGGGGCTACGCCAGCTTCTGAATAACAAATAAGGATTGTAATCTTGGAGAAGCGGCGCATCCACGCTTAGAATTCTGCATAGTTTCCTTCGCATATGTGGAAATAAAGATTGGTCACGTAGAACTCTAGAGATACCATTTAACAGTAGCCTCTTTCTTTCTGATTCAAAAGATATTATTTCTCTATTTATATATATATATATATATGTTACCGTCGAAGCCGGAAATCAGTCATTGCTAGTAATTCCTCGGCATTATTATGAATGCAAAGAGCCTTCAGACGAAGTCGGAAATTGAAGAATTCTTCCAGTTTTTCCTAGGCATCGAACATAATACTTTGATATCCTATAGAATATTAAATTACTATTTAAACAACGTTGAAAATAATACATTCTCAGATACAGACTCATGCAGCTATACGATCACACAATATCAGAGATTGCAATGCTGTAAATTGTGCATTACAATTCTACGAGAGAAATAATTATAAAGATAATTTGCCTTCTACCTTATTAAACGCAAATTTGTCGGCATCGATATGATACCCGACTAAATAAAAATTTGCAAATGATAGGACGAATGTAGGAACGGTATTTTGCCAAGTGATTCGTTCGTTCATGCATCGTTACGCGTTCTACCAGAGCGTGGCTGCAGTGATTTATGATCCCCGTGGCAGGTCTAATAAAGCACCTCGCTCTTTATGGGTCAACCGCCACTATTATTTTCGTCGAACCCTCTATATCGTCCTCGAAAGCCCGAAGGAACGCGCCGTACCGGCCATTAAACCGGTCCGGGCTACCTACTATGCTCTCCTAACGATGTCTCGCGCTAACTCAGAACCTAAAAGAGACCTTACTCCTATTCTTGAATCATGTTTCTTATAATTTGCGGATATGGAATCGCGTTAGAACGGTCTTGCTAATGCTTCTTCATTTTTCATTCATTCATTAATCATATTATACATTCCAAAGTGTTCTGTAATTGGTGATACAAACGAGCAACGGCTTAAAAAAAATTAAACTCTTTATTATTGTATAATATTCGTAGAGATATACTCACTTGATTACTAGCTCTAGCAGCTGTATTCAAATCCCTTTGCAAAGATGGTAGAGTATGTTTCAAGTATGGTAAAACGAATCCCCTCAATGGAAAGTTCGTGGCCTCTTGCAAAGCAGAGTGAAATTCTTCAGCAGTCATAGTCCCGCTCTGTACAAAAAAATATATATTATATTAAATATATATGTAGGGATCAGATTAATCTATTATCTCTTTACTATAGTATTTATCAATCAATTCAATCCACAGTTTTGATCTTATGTTGATGATCACGTGCTGCAATCGCTATACTGTCACGCACGTTTACCAGATGTCACGTTTCCTGAATCGCATGCAGCCTCCGTGCTCGAACGTTCATACATTATGTAGGTACTTTAAATATTTACAATCGGCTTAGCGATATATCGACCATCGATTGTCCTCGTTTTGCGTTAGGCGCAATTTCCTGACGAAAGATTTAATAGTTTCAATGCTAAATATTCTATTTTTATTATTTTACATTTATTTTTTCATTCGATAATTTACGATAAAAAAAAACATCAAATTGAAATGGAAACGAATCGATTATGCGACACTTGTTAAATAAAATATCTATGAAGCGTAATATAAATCATCGGATAACAAGGATTCATTTATTATGTTAAAAATATTCGTAGGATTGATTTTTCTTTCTAATAGAAAATTGATGGAACGTTCAAGACGAGTGCCGGATCCCTCTTTTGCGTTTCTCTCGCACATGTTCAAACTTGTCTTGAAGATGCACTTAGAGTTTCTGCAAAAGTACCACCGGTCCCCAGCAACATCGCAGCTCCATCGGTCTATTCTATGCATTTTCTATGGTCATCGTCGTCAGTTGGCTGATACGCGTATGTTGATTTAGCGCTACGTTAGACTATCGCAACGAGTGCAAGATGATGCGTGCAAATGTGTACTTAGCAAGGCATATCAAAGAATTACTTGCCTATGGTGTTACCATGGACGGTATAATTAAGAAGAATGATCGGTCTTTATAAATTCATACGAAAGAAAAAGACAAGAAAAAATCAAAATTGATGATGATATTCGAGTTATGAACTACGAATTATTAATATTCTCTACTAGAAATAGGCACATCAGGAAGGAATAATATAAAGATATATATAGACACACAAACGTACCAAGAGAGCGAGTACCAAGGTCCGTACAGTGTCTCCGGTGTCGGCTGATATGTCAGTTGCGAATTGGACGAGGGTGCCAAGTAGCCTTTTGAGTTTTCCATGACCAGCAAAAAACCCGGTGATACACCTGACGCCATTTGACAGTAGTGGGCTGGCCTCGATTTGTTCCTCGTTTCTGCAGGTAGCTGAAGGCCCACTTGTGGTAGAGGCAGTAACAGTAGCAGGAGCAGAGATTGGCCCAGCTGATGTTCCGGTTGACGTTCCTCCGGTAGATTCCTCAACATCAGGTTTGAGAGGCTGCGAAGACATGGGGCTATCGTTGTCCGACGACCTGGAGCAACCCAACTGACCTTTATACTCCGATCGAGAGCCATTGCTTTGAGTTGACTGTCTTTGATGATGTTGAGAAGACGGTGATAGGACCTCGGAGTGATTATTCTCATCCCTCGATGTTTTATCTCTGCTGCTGGTAGGACTCGCTGAAACGAAAGTCTTTTCTCCGTTCTCACGTAATGCCAATTGCTTTTGAATAACGCGAAATCGGCGACATTCGACATATAAGACTGAATAAATGTGCATTATACTTTCGAAATAACACAAGATTATAAGGAAAGTATATATTTATAGATAAATCGATTTAATGTATATATACAATATGTAATTATTAGGAAATGTCGCGTTAAGATCAACCCCATCCAGCATATGACATATTAGGAATAAGGGAAGAACAAGTAGAATGAGGATCCTTGCTAGGGAATATTTTAGGGCACGTGCTCTAGAGAGACGAGACAAAACGAGATGAGATGAGACATGGATGCATGGTCCTACGTTTTCGGTCGCGTGGGTGCAGCGGATAACATGCAATTACGGGCCGTGTCATCCACCTTGTCTTGTTCCTATTCTATGTTCCGCACGTTATCTCATAGAATGCCTCCAGGCTCGTGGCATGCGTGGCAAAACGCCGGTGACGACGGCCGATAACGAAATGTTACAGCCGTGCATACCGACGTTCTCCACCACTAACCTCTTCCTCCTCCTCCTCCTCCTCCTCCTCCTCCACCTCATCATCATCCTCCTCCTCCTTCTCTTTCTTCTCCTCTTCTATCTCCTTCGAAACATATCGCTGACAGACGTAGAAGCGACAAGTCAGAGAAATATTGTTGATTTTTTTGTTCAAACTGTTACTCATTTTATCAACGTTTTCTCTGATTTTTATTATTTATCAACGTGTTAAATGAAAAAAGACTTTAAATACTGCGAGTAAAATTGTTTCCTTCTGTTTCCCGCTATTATGTATTTTTTTTATTCTAAAGAAAATTGATTTACCTCTTCGGTATATAGTTCCTTCAATATTTTCAACATAATAGGTGCGCGAGAATGTGATCGTAGTCGTGTCTGGGAAGGAACCAAATTTGAACGAGTAAAAGGAGAAAGCTCTAATGCTAACGTGTCACTACCACCTGACGCCGGTAGCCGGTAGGTAATTACCTGTACCTGAACTCCCGAGAAACTAAACTACCTACAGCTTATACGATATGACGGGTGCAAGGTGCACAACCTCTCAGTTACCTTTCCTCTTTAACTTCCTTTCTCTTTTCTCTAGTCTCTTTCCTAGAAATGTAGTACTCGTGATCTGCGTAACATATAACTTTAATGTAAGTGCATGTACGTAAACGAGCTTGACTAATGTCTGCGATTAAGAGATCCCTAGAGAGAGATGGTTCATAAAAAGAGTCTCCTAGAACGATCTCAACTGACAAAGAGATATTTAAGATTTCTCCATGGAATCGCGATATTATACTTTCTTCTTCATTGCTAACAATTCTATGGGATTGCCAACGTTTATTTTACATCACGAAAATCATGAAATAATAAATAGACTACTCATTTTTAGCCGATGTAAAATTTCTTTTATCCAGGAAGCAAGATGAACAATCAGAATTTGTTATCAAGATTAGTCCGAGTTCCGTTTTCATTGATGTTCGAAGTATCATCATCGTTTCTCATCCATAACATACTCGTACTAAATTCTTCGGACAGGTTCTTTCATCGAGGTCGTCGTTCGTTGCGCAAAATTGTCGTTCGTCTTCTTTCCATAGAGCGAATATATGAATTTCAGGGAAGGTATCCAGCGAGATGACGGTAATGGTACTGGTGCTACTGCTACTGCTGCTGCTACTAGTACTGCTGCTGCTGCTGCTGCTGATGTTACTATCCCTTTGGCCAGCTGTTACTTCCGGCAGAGGTTCTCAACTCCATAAGAATTGTCAAATATCGGCGCGAAATTCTGGACAAGTCTCTATTGGGCTTACAGTTAAGAAAACTCGTGTGAAATTGAGAGACACCTTTTGTTACTTGAGAGAGAAAGACAGCAGAGTTTGGTTCACCCGCTGTATATACTGGCACCTCCGATATCTTTGACTCGTCGTTTCGTGATCGATAGGACGCACATGTGCCACCTGACTGAGAATCTCTGTTGGAAGTAAGTACGGTGAGACTCAGCTGTCGCCTCCTAATTGCTGGGACAATGCAACAGATGGCTTTGATCGCAATTCCTTCCTTCCTTCCTTACTTACTTGCTTGGTTGCTTGCTTCCTCTTCCTTGCTTCTACTTCTTCTTCTTCTTCTTCATAAGGTTTGTCCTTTTTTTACCTTCTTCCTTTCACTCCCTAAGCCATATCCTCTCTATTATTTTTACTTTTCTTTCCCCTTTGATTCCATTATTTCTATTTTTACTTCCCGAATCGATTCCATTAGATTTTCTACGTTTCTTATTTTGTTTCTCTCTTTTTAACTATTATTTCCAAAAATTTCCATCTTCCTCCCTAATATTTACAGTTTGTAACATTATTATTTCTCTTCTTTTTCTTTTTCTAGCCGAGGGAATAACGGTATCTGATAAAAAACGTATTTCTAGTAATCCTTAACGTTCTTATCTTTGAAAATTTAAGGAAAGCAGAGCTTTTAGAGGTATAAAAGAGATAGAGACCATCGGAGCTTTTGGTTGGTTGGAAGAAGAACCAACGACGTTCTAGTCTCGAAAAAGATAGAAAGAGCCGACTTCTGTCTCTCCCCCCTCTCCCCCTCCCTCACCGTTTCAACGTCATAAGCATATCCAGGGAAAACGAGCGGTGGCAGCGTCGTGGGTAGGGCGACTATCGCAAAATACCTCGAACGGCGGCAAACCGGGAATGCCGACGGTGTACCGGATATGATATCAGCCTGGAGCAGAATCCCGGTGGAAGTGTCGGACGTGCCTTATCGCGTCTGGACCAGGCAGTCAGGCAGCGCACGAAGCGACCTAACCAACACACCGGGCTAGAACCAACCGGCTTGACTGACTGCTTGCAGGAGTTTCACTATCCTCTCCCTCTCACAAAATCAGAGAGAGAGAACGAACATCCTGTGATCGTGATTCTCTGTCTCCTTTCTCTTCCCCTTTTCTCCCCCTTCTCAATCTCTCTCTCTCTCTTTCAGCTGACACGATATATGTTTTATATGTAGGTGTACGTGTATGTGTGTGGATATGCTTGTGTGTGTGTAAACATACGCGCGTTGCACCACTCTGTTCTCTCTAGGAGAACGAATACACACACGGATTTTCGCCCGCTTTCCCTGCCATATCCACTCAAAGGATTTCGAAACGGCGGATGCACCTAAGTCCGCTTCCTGCGATCGAACCTATGAAATGTGCACTTTCGGAGAGAGAGAGAGAGAGAAAGAGAGAGAGCTTGACGGCTCAAATAGGAAGAGATGTCCATCCGATAAATCGATCGATTTACTTTTTCGAATGGAATATCTTTTCTAGGTTTTTTTTTCGTTGACAATTTTATCCTTTTTGTTTTTTTTTTTTTTATAAACTTTACTCTCCGTAATGCAACTCTTTCTTTTTTTAATGGCTTTTACTTATAATACATTTTTTAATCTGTTAGCGACAGTATCGTTTGTGTACTGGTATCTTTTATTATACTTTTATTATATCTTTTATTATACTATTTTTATTATTATTATATTATACAAAGCGTCCAAGATTTATCCAGCAGTAAGTACAGCAATTAATAATATATTATAACTGTACCCCGGTATTAAATGTACTACGAGTATAATCTGTTAAATTATTAATACATACAAAGTACGCAATGAATTCTAACTACGTATTAAAAATCAATACAAACTTGTCCTATAGAAAAAACCACCGACAAACATAAATTGATATGAAATGCATCATTTTTTAGCTGCCCCAGCCCTGAAAAAAAATATTTCTATTTGGGAAAAATCTCGCGACGACGGGCCAGAAAAGCTTTCGTTTCCTAAAAGCAATATTTCGTTGGCGTCCAAGATAAATAGAATGAAAACATAAAATGGGAATACAGAAAAAAAGACAACGGGGGAAACAAACAGAAGGGAAAAAGGAAAAGGCAAAAAAAAAGAAAAGGAAATGGAAAGGAAGAAATCGCGTCGGGTGTAGCGGCGGAAATAAAAATTTTATCTCCTTTTTTTTTCCTTTTTTGTTTTTGCGTTTGTTTGTTTCGAATGCACGAGTTTAATCCCGTACGTTTCTTGTCCGTATCGAGAGATTTATCGTGTCATGCGACACGATGCGACCTACGGACGTACGCAGGTCGCCAAAATAAAATACAAAAAAAAAATCTATATATATATGTATTCGCGTCAGTCCGTCAGATTAGCGTCTCTTTGGGAGGACATCACGGATGAGGTGGTTGCTTGTATTGTGCCGGACAGTAACCTCGTTGACGAAAAAAAAAATGTATTTTCAGGGAAATAATGCAAAACTCTAATTAATGATCATTCAAAATATGAAAATCTAATAAAAATTATCCGACAATATAGTAGACGAACGATGATAGAACGAGAACGATTAAAAATCTATTCGTAAATAATTGATAATGAAAATAATAATAAACATCGTTCCTCCCACCCCTATTTATATCGAAACTTTCAAACGAGATATTTGATTCATCTAAAAAAAAAAAAAAAAAAAACCCCCGAATTGTATCCTTTGTTATTAAAGTGTAACCGTTTGTATGACAAAAAGGACACGGTTTTTTTTATCGATTCGATGTACGAATAAATAGAAAGGGAGAAGGGGAGATAAAACAAAGATAGAGAAATAAGGGCGAGGGGGAGCCGCGAACCGCGAATGATCTCGCGTTGACGGGACTTTGATGTGCGAAGAGAAGAGATGTAGGAAAGAGAGAACGAACACGAGTGAACGAGAGAGAGAGAGAGAGAGAAGGCTTTTTTTTCTGAGCCATTTCCAAGGTAGCTGCGGGCTCTCATTCGTCCAGATAACCAGTTCGGTACTAAATGTACGATTTGAGCGAGAGAACACACCCGCGGATTGAATATACGGGTACCATCATGCAATATTCTGAACTAATGTACGACGCGCCCACAGCTAAGCCCAATGCTCTCCTCACCGAACGAGGAATGCGGAAAATGCTCTCCCTCTCTCCCTTTCTATCTCTCTTTCTATCTCTCTTCTTTTTACTTTTTGCCTCTTCCAGTCTCTTTCTGGGTCTACAACGAATGACTAGTTGTTTGAACGTTTATCTTCTACTTCTTCCCCTCCTTTTACCCCCAGCAATATAACGTAGAAAAATCTAACAAGAAATAACATTTTTCAGTATTATATATTTATAAAATATCTATCAAATTTTTGTTTAATTGTCGACTTTTCGATCTTCTTTCAACCTCACATTGTCTCCCCCTATCTCTTTTTTATTTTATTATTGAAGAAAAACGAAAAGGAAAAAGGAAATGGAATAATGATTATTGCAAACACAGCGCGATATATAAAAAAAAAGAAATAGAAATGATTATACGAACCCCATGCGATATCGTTTAACAAGATTACGTATAATTTGTCGAGAAAAATGAAAAAAAAAAAAAAAAAAACAAAGTTAATAGTTCGACCGAGTTACTAGATAAACCTTAGGTAGACACGCAGGTATCTATATACCTACGAATCCACACATTTATAAATATATATATATTCCCTCTATCTACCTGAACGTATGCACGAAGCCTATAACTTTTGATTTGTTTTAACGATTCACCTGAGATGCTATAACTTACCCTTATTTTTACTCTTGAGGTCGAGGTCTACAGGCAAAGGTTCAGGTGTCTGAGCAGTACTGGTGGCCACAATGGTTGCCGGTGTCGATGGATGACAGATAATGGCAGAGGTTTGAAGAGAATTCGAGGTTGAGGACGTGGTAGGTACGGTGGTGGTGGTCGTAGGGGTACTCGTAAGAGTAGCTGCTGCTATTCCAACAGTGGTTAGACCATTGCTGTTGCAATTGCTCGAGGTCGTTGCAATGACGGTCGCCGTCGTCGTCGAGGCTGCAGTCACCGTCGAAACAACCACGACCACGCTCGAACCCCCCGATGACGTTGCCGAGACCTGCTGAAAGCTGCAACATTCCTTTGCCTCTTCCTTAACCTTGACTTTCTGAAGGACCGTCGTACTCGCCACTCCACCGTCCACTTTCATGCTAGCGGTACCGCTCGATCCTCTCGACCTGTATCATGAAATATTATCGATTCGTATTATTATTATTATTATTATCGTTTATCATATATTTTATTTTTATTGATTTGTGTGTGTGTGTTTTTTTTTTAAATAATACGTAAAGGTTAAGAAATTCTCTTTATAAAAGTAACATCTTTCCTCTATTCGGAGACAATTCTTTTTATTCCGTCTTTTATTTTTTTCTTTTAAGCAAACGAGCAAATTTATCTGGCGAGATATTCTCGATAGGGAATTGAATCGCACAGTCATCCTCGCCTGTCCACCGAAAAACGACGGGGAAAAAAAACTAAACGAAATGGTAGGGGGAGGGAAATCGGAAGGTGTGTGTAGTATCTATGTCATCGTAACCACGATTCGTATTTGATTGATTCCATTTCGCAAGTGGCGGTCACATATTTCGTCTACGTGCTCGACAACGGGTTACCCCGTTGTGCATACCGATGGCCGTTTTAATGGAATTGGACGGACGTTAGTTTGTAAAACTAACGGGGAGATTCGTCACGATCCGTCGGCCCGTTGTTGAATACCTAAATCGTCGATATTTAATAGGGGAAACATGTTCCGGTGGAAAAAAAGAAAAGTCGAAATGGGGAAGATCGAAATTGTCCGAGGAAAAGAAAAATGTCGAATAAAAAAAGAAAGAGAGAGAGAGAGAAACGAAATAAGAAAATTTGTTTTCCGGTCAATATAATACTTCTTTTCCTTGGAAAATGTTGGAGGAAATAACATTAAAGGAAAGAAAATTAAATGGAAGGAAAAGCAGGAAGTAATCTTTAAGATCCACATGGTGCACCACTCCGAACCGGTGAAATTTTATTTTATTGACGCGCAGCAGCCCTGCCAGCAGACTGCCTTCGGTGCCACATGGTCTCGTTATTAACGTGAAATGCAAACGAGCCCTTCGTTTCGTCCAAGAAACGCTCCCTCTGATGGCTCGCTATAATTTTTACTGCAAAATTGCATTGCCAAATGGTGTAGGAATTTAAAACTGCAAGTTTGCTAACTATTATTTGACGGAGAAGAGACTTCTTATCTCGATCATTTTTAAGATTTCGTTAAATCTCGTTTTAAAAAACGTTACATCTTAACGTGTATATATATATATATATATATATATACACGAGAGAAATCACAGAATTTATCTAGAACATTGGACAAAAATCTTAATTGTACTTTCATTTTATAATACTTATAAACTTACGATAATTTAATATTTAAAAGTATGATTCCTCCCCAAATTCTATTCCTTTAATAACATTGGGGCTACCTGATTTTGCTCGAAGGATTTCGTAAATCAATTGTTCTGGAATACAAATGATGGAACGTCACTCTTTCACATACACACGTATACGCTCATACCTTATAATATGCCGCGTATACATTTGTCATTTTTTTCCCTGAAGAATTGACATTACGTTAGAACAATACATGCACGCAACTTATATATTGTAACAGATGGGTATTATTTTTTTAATCACCGTGGGTAGAGCCTATCGTCTTCTGTTATTACAGATGTCCGCCATTCCTTCGTCATCGGGTGAACAAGTGTCGTACACTGTGTTTGCGATCTCCGTCGCCTATTTTACGTCCGTACAGCTGCGATAAAGCCAATCTGTTATGTACATTGTACATCTGCACGAGCGTCTAAGCTTAATGGATGAATTTAGCGGTACGACGTGACGTAGTAACCGCCTCGTTCTTTTGCTTCCACCATTTTACACTGATTTACGAATTTCCCCTCGTATATTAACAAATCGGATTTTCACAGGAAAATCTTATCTCGCGATGTTGCATCGATTAAAACTTTACTAACGTTTATATATAACGATAAAGGCTCATATTTTTAATACATGTAACGATGATTATGCTAGTTACGTAAATGTGTATGTTAAAATCCTATACAAACAATATCATTCTTATTTTATGCAAGAATTACTCGATATATGAATTTAAAATTCTGACCTCATTCGCATTTACATGGAAAAAGGGAGTCTCCAAGAAACGTGACAATCGGGGTATCGAAGTTTGCCATTAATCGACTCTGAGAAAAAGGTGTTGGGAGAGAAGGAGGAAGAAGAAGAAGAGTAGGAGGTTTGATGAAAGCCGTGGAGCTTTGGCCTTTTCCTCGATCAGGGTTGGAGACGCACTCTAGCAATTCGTTAAGACGCTTAGTTAAGCAAACAAGAGCATACACACAGTTGGTGAAAAGTGATATATATATACACTCACCTAAACGTATTTTCGAGTGTAGATCTTATATATACTATATATAGTACACACATATACGTACCATGGGTAGAAAATCCATGGCTCTCGCGCACCTAATCGCACACAGCTGCGACCCTTTCGTGCGAAGGCATCTCTCTCTCTCTCTCTCTCTCTCTCGCTCAAATTTTCCTTTCTTTTTATATTATTACCGTCAGTTTGTTTTTCTTCTTTCTATTCCGTCAAATTCGATTTTTACCTCGACCCTTCGTCTTATTCTTCTTCTTCTTCTTCGTCAAACAAAAACCACGATATAGAAAACGCACCCTCGGTTTCTTTTCTTTTAAATCTTTTTATTATTTCTCAACATTTTTCATTATTCTCTCACGTGCGTTTCTTTAATTGCGTTAAGATTTCTTCGTTCTTTTTTTTTTTTTTATCAAATCAAATTAGATAATGTGTTAGTCGAAGCATAAGAAGATCGAAATGTTTTTGATCCCATTTTTCTCCTCCCCCTCAAACTTTTTCGAGTGTCTCTCGTTCTCGGTTCGGTCAATTTGGAAAAGAAGTTAAAAATACTCACTTTGTTTTTCACGTAACAGCCAAAGCTCCGACAGATACATCGCGTTCACGCAACTAGCGGCAAACGAGGCGCCTGTTTCTCGACTTTTCATCGTAAGGGAGAAAACCAGAAGCTTCCAACAAGAGTCAGAGAGAGAGAGAGAGAGAAAGAAAATAACGAGCGGTATCGGCTCGCAACTTTGCCTATCTCTCTTTCTCTCTCTCTCTCTCTCTCTCTCTCTATCTCTTTCTCTATCTATGTATATATCTATCTATCTTTCTTTCACAAAACGATCTGGGCTTCCTCGTCGAGGAGAAGTTTACAACGAGGGCCAGATGGAAACGCGTAAATCCTTCGAAATCCGTGCTCGTTTTGCTCCGTGGCGAGTTTCGAATTAGCGCGAGTTTCGACTATCCTGTGAAGTTTTGTTTCTTTTTTTTTCTTCTTTTTCTTCTTCTTCTTATAATCCGTCCAATTAAAATAAATTCCTTGGAATATTACTTCAACTCTTTCCGCGTCATCCCACTATCGTACATCTTAAAAATTCTTAGTACCGGTTCCGAAAAGAACAGAAACCCTACTACTACTTTTCAACATTCGTTCGACTAACTTCTAACGATATTTAGGAATTGAATGAAGATATATCGACTGAACTAGGGTACCTAGGGCGATTCAGATAAAACCATGAGAGGACAAAAGAAGTTGAAATGGGGTGGGAATAGGAGAAAGAGAAAGAGGAGGAGGAGGAGGAGGAGGAGGAGGAGGAAGAGAAGGAGAGACGAGGAATAATCGTAGTTCGCTTTTTGAAGGAAACGAGCTTCGGGGCATCGCGTCGTGCCGAGCTTATGTTTATACATATGTCCCGCACATGGTACGGCGCCTGGAGGAGCAGGAGGAAGAGGAGACGAAAGAGGAGGACATGGAGGTGGTGGTGGTGGTAGTAGTACTACTAGTGCTGGTCCTGGTCCTGGATACTGGTACTAGTGCTAGTGCTGGTGCTAGTGCTGGTGCTATCGAAGGTGGTGGAAGTGTAGTTGTAGTTGTAGGTGTAGGTGTAGGTGGAGGTGGAGGTGGAGGCGTACTGAAATTTCCAATATTAGAACGGGCAAGCGAGAGGCAGGCCAGATGTCTACCGTACTGACTGCCGAGAGACCGACGTACGTTCAGCTTGGTTTCATTACAAAAATGTCACGCACAGCCACCGCGCGTCGCCCCGGCTCGCACCGCCGTTCGATGATGCGTTCTCTCCTCTTTCACCACCCCCAATTCACCTCCGCTTCCACCTTTACCAACATTAATAGTAGTAGTAGTGGTAGTACCACCACAACCTCCACAACCTCCTTCCGTCAACCACCACGATCGAGACTTTATAGACAGCGTTTCTGATTACGATGTGTCTCCTCGTTTCTTTTTATCTTCTTATTTTTTCTCTTTTTCTTTTCTTTTTCTTTTTTCGCCTAGTTTATATACTTTCTTTCTTTTTTTCTGCTTTCTGCTTTCTTTTCTTTACTTTACTTTACTTTACTTTACTTTGCTGTCATTCGTTTACTTGCTTGACGTTAGAACTTTGAAACAGGACTGAATCTTGAGATAGAGTAATTAAAAATGAATTTAAAATTCATAAGACGAGTTAAGATATTGAGTTTTATCAATTTTCCTACAAAATAAAAATAAAAAAGAAATAATGCAAAAGTTTTTATAATATCGATCTCTACAAAAGAGATGTGATCAAATTTATTCTACACACAAACTAATATAAATAAATTCGTACGATATACATGAGACAACAGTAGTCGTCGTAGATCGTTTATGTAAATTCAGATTGAAATAAGAAATAATATTGAAGGATCAATAGTCCTCTATTTTTCATAGTACTATACGTTCGTTCCTTCCTGTGTAAATTCTAATTGAAATGTGAAATAATTGAAGAATCAATCCTACGTACGCTGGGATAATATACAGGGTGAGATAAAAGTTGCTGTTTTTCATCGGAGAAATTTTCTGTACACGAAGGTACAAGATTTGTACGAGTAACGACAGTTGATAGGACTAGTCGTTTTAAAATTTATACACCAACCCTTCGTTATGTTTCGGCATATGTAAATCAGTAATTAAACGATATAATTAGTTGCGTACTGAGTGTACATCAAACGGATACCAATTTGAATAATTTATGTGAATGAATGCAAAATGAATATATGAACGTTGAACAAATAAAAGTAATTTGTATCAAGTTGGGGTAAGCGACTTTTACCTCATCCTGTACATACGTTGGATATTGACATAAAGAGATAAAAAAAAATGTATCAAAAAGTGAAGCGATTTTTGATCCTGGGGTGAAACGCTAAACTATTATGCTGTTAACGTAACGTTAAAAGGTATATATGTGTATGTACGCAACATATACGTAGGTAGAGATAGGTAGGTAGATAGGCAGGCAGGTAGGTAGGTAGGTAGGTAGGTAGGTAGGTAGGTAGGTAGGTAGGTAGGTAGGTAGGTACGCGTACGTTAAAGCTTGCCTCGTTACAAAGATGTCATGCGCAGAAACGTCAGTTTCCCGAGTTGGCACGCGGTTACGTTTCGTTTTCTACGTGCGTTCTGTGTCCACGATAGGTTTGTCGGTGATGGTGGTGGTAGTGGTAGTGGTGGTAGTAGCTTGGCGTTTGAGCGTTCATGCGTAAAAAAATCCTTCAGAAATCTAAAAGAACGAAATAATAAAAAAAGGGGTAGAGGAGGGGGACGGGGGTGGTAAAAAAGATGAGAGACATGCCTGCTAGGCGATGTTCGGCTAAAAATCATTTCTTTTTTTTCTTTTTTCTTTTTTTTACTTTTCGGAAACAACCGAATCGAATCGATTGAATTTTTGTTTTTGTATCGCCCCTTTTTTAATCGACTTTTCTTTTAACTCGTCGTAGCCGTGCACGTTCGTTTTTTCTCGTTTTCGTTATTTCTTCTATTTTTTTCATTCTTCTTCTCTTTTTTATCATAATCTTCGAAAAAGAAAAAAAAAGAGTTGGACGAGTAAGAAATTCGCTAATATAAATGGCGGGGGTTGGGTTCGGGGGTAAAGGTAGATGGAAGGATGGTTTGAGAGGAGAATGAGGAGTAAGGGGAGGAAGAAAAGGGGTGAGAGGGAATGAAATTGCTTTGCGCTTAATTGCATTTAGACCGGTCTTCCCTTCACCGACGTTTAAGCGCGCACTACCTGACAAGTCCAGCTACGTACCTGTCATCGTCATGTCGTGGCACCACCGAGAACACGATTTCGTGGTTTTCCTGACGGTTTCACGCAAACCCATATTATTAAACGCACTATCATTTAACGCGTACTAACGGCAAGAGAGACGTGCTGGTGTACGTGCACGCGTAACATCAACCGAATTAAACGATAAGCCCTTTAAAATTGATCGAGTATCTAACGAAGATATCGAAACTTTAGTCGATATGATCTACCATCGATCGGATAAATTTATTCACAGGGATTCATAAACGAACATAAAGCAATAATAGGTTCTTTCGCATATTGGTAACAACGTTTTTTCCTACGATAGTCGAAAGATTTTCTTTTTCAAGAGTTTCCTTCAACCAAACAAACTTTTTGCGTTGGTCGTTAACGTTAAAAAAGTCTCAAATAGGGACAAAAGAATAGAGGAAATGTGGTTTTTATCCTATTACCATGCCCTTTTGCGAAAGTCTAACGTTTCCTCCTGACAAAATATGCTCTCTATGGTAACACACATATTACTAAAAATAAGAAGAAAGCAACCCTCCTCCTTCTTTCCCCAACCCCCGTACAGCACATAATGCGAGCACGTGTGGTTCGTCCCAGTTATTTGATCTTTGATTCTACTATGTCTTTCTACCGGTGCCCTCTTTTACAATAATCTATTGTATCAATTAATTCGCGTACAAATATCGATTTACAATAGAAATTCTTTTCGAAATTTTCATAGAGAGAAAAAGGGGAGTGTCGTTTGTCTAATTAATACCTTTTCTCGGGGGTTACGTAAATGACAATGAGGAATCAATCGATCGACACTTAATATATCTGTGGAAATATCGAATGGCGAGCGAGTGCAGGTGTATTCAGGGTGCAGCCGGTTCGGTTCGTCAGTATCAGTGAATATATAGTGTACCTAGACGAGTTTAAGTGTAGGCTCAAACACATTTGACTATGCGTGTGACACTATTCCAATACGTCGACGAGAAACGGGGATATACCCTCTCTTCTACCACCTCTTCTTTCTCCTCACCCTCCCTCCTCCTTCTCCTCCTTTTCCTTCTCTTCCTTCTCTTCAGTCTTGAGAGGAAGTTCCTCGTTCTTCTAACAGTTAAAACTTTAGCAAGGAAAACTTTCTCGACAATTTTCTTTTTTTTCTTTCTTTTTTTATTTTTTTTTTTATGTCGATGTCAGAAAAGTTTTTATGTCAGAAAATTTACAAATAACTTCTTCCTCCTCCTCTTCCTCCTCCTCTTCCCTTATTTCATTTATAATTCGTAAGGATATAATAATAAAATGAGCGTAAATTCGTATCGGACAAAAAATCGCGGAAATCGCGATTGTTCTCTTCGAGTCCCTTGTTACTCATATACACTTTACTAAAGTATGAAAATCGGAGCAGGAAACTGTTCTCCTTTGTTGAAAATTGGATTTAAACCGCTGGGCGAACCGCGTCAACGATCACGAGAATGGAAAAGAGGAACAAAGATATAGAAAAAGAGAAAGAGAGAGAGAGAGAGAGAGAAAAAGTCGAAACATTCAAACGGTGTTTACCAGGCTGATACCGGAAGGTACTAAACAAAGGAAGTAAAGCACAGCTCTCTCTCTCTCTCTCTCTCTCTCTCTCTCTCTCTCTGTCGTGACTCTTGATTCTCTTTGAACCACGGAAGCTGCCCGCAACACCTGACTGAGTCGACGGACGCATATACGGCAGGTTCAGCCGACAGCGGCACCAACAGTGGGGTGCAGAGGTTGCCGAGGGGTTGACTAGGTCGAAAGAGAAAGAGAGAGAGATAGAGATAGAGGGAAAAGGAAGGAAAGGAAAGAGGTAGAGAAGCGAAGAAGAGGACGGAGAGAGAGAAAGATTAATAATATAGGAAAGCCAAAGCCATGCCACCCTCCAACAAGCTTTCCTCTGCCTCTCTCTTCTGTTGCCAACAGTTAATCGATATAATACTTTGGTATAACACGCTAACGCCAACCCGCGTGTGTTTCGCTCACTTACGTGTACTCTCTTGCAGCAGCAGCAGCAACAGCAGCAGCAGCAGGACATGCAAACCCATATGTGTACGCATATACGCATCCACGTACAAATTCTGGCACACACACACATACACATATATTAAACGAACGTATTCATACATAAAAGACATTTTCTATGTACCTGCAATTGATTCGGGGATTAAATGTTTCATTTCTCCTATCGTTTTATAAACAAAACAAAAGAGGAGGTTTTTTTTCGGCCGTTAAAATTATTTATTTATTGATGATAAAGGTTCATAGGAAACTTGGACATGAAAAGAAGTAGAACTTAATTTAACTAAGTTGGACGTTTCGTCCCTTTATTGGGACTTGATATTACATATGATGATTTGAAAAAGAAATTACGTTACTTCGTATTATATTATATTTGACAAAAAATAATGTTTCCTGACGCGCGTTGTTATTTATTATTTTTAATCTTATACATAATAAAATCGAACTTACGCGTCGTAACACGGAATTTCGAGATTTCTAGAAATTTGAAGACTTTTAATCGAACTACCGAACTCATTACGAGTGCTCGTTAACGGCAGCCCCCGAGTACTACCAGCAAAGCGCATGTGTACCTGACGTGTTTCTTGCGGTTCGTTATTATTAAGTTGGTTAATTTTAATAACGGTTAATTCGCGCATAACTAGAAAAAAAAGGAAAAGGAATAAAAAATAGAAAAAAATAGTAAAATAAAATAAAACTAACATAAGTCGATTTAATTCGTCTTCTAATTATTACCCCGTTTAATAATTTCAATAAAATCATTTATATTCTCGAGAGGTGTCATTGAGAATATATTTATCAAACGCGTTGCCTTATCTTTTATCAAAGAAAAAAAGAAATTAAATGAAAATGAAAGAGAAAGCAAGATAGAAATATTCTACAGGTGTACAAATCGAATATCCAACACAATTAATCATAAAGAGTAAATATATATGTTCTTTCGTACAAAATATTATCATTGATCAATCGGAAAATTTTGTTAATCGAAAAATACGTTTATCGATTACCTAAAAAAACTTACTCCACAAATATCAAAAAAACATTCTTTTCGATTCAATCAAAAAAAGGATATTTCGGTGGTAATTTTATAGCCTAATCAAATTCGATTATTTACATGATCGTTTCCAAACATCCTTGGATCTTTAAAATAAAAATTATTTTGCCGTTGAAGAAACAAAAAAGAAACCAAATTACTTTTCCAACAACCTAATATATATATTATATATATGATAAATACGTTTTGAAGAACCTAATAATTCGCAAAAGAATGTTTTTGACAGTTTTTCTTATCATTTTTTTCCATTTCATTTTCTAAAGAAAACTTCAAGTTCCAAACAATTCTATTGCTGTTGCTGCAACTTGCTTTTTGCCTTCCGGACAATTTTCTGATATTCTTCGTTTCCGTTTGCATCTCTCTCTGTCTATCTGTCTGCTGACTCTCTCTCTCTCTCTCTCTCTCTCTGTCTATCTGTCTGCTGACTCTCTCTCTCTCTCTCTCTCTGTCTATCTGTCTGCTGACTCTCTCTCTCTCTCTCTCTCTCTCTGTCTATCTGTCTGCTGACTCTCTCTCTCTCTCTCTCTCTCTCTCTCTCTCTCTCTCTCAATCTCCCCCCCTCTCTCTCTCTGTCTTTATCTATCTATCTCTCTTCCGCGTAATCAGAATACACGTGCGTGTGCGCGCGCAAACGCCTACGTATATGATTTTTCGGCATTTACTTATCGTTCATCCTATCTTCTTATTTACCCTTCCCACCCTTTTCTACCTTATTCCACCTCCCCTTCTTCTTTTTCTTTCATCTTTTTTCGGAAAAATGTCTACGTCGATTGCCAACAACGATATAATTAAAAAACGAAAAGAAAAAAAGAGAAATATTTTTAATAAGAAAACAAAAAAAAAGTGTTTCTCACCTGCGTTTAGATCGGCGATTAGATTTCTGAGTCAGTTTTGTAGTTTCCAAAAGATCCCAGCAATAATAATTTTCAAAATTTAATTGTATAATGTATAAGAAAAAAAAAAAGGAAACAAATAAAAATTATTAAACGAAATAATAAAATAATAATAATAATAATCACTGGCTCTCTCGAGTTTTTGTTGTGATCACTTGACGAACAGCATCATTCTATAATTCGAATTATATCATTGATTTGTTATTTCATAGCGCACTGTATTTTCGTTTTACCCCCTTTTTTTGAATATCACCAAACCCCCTTGTTTTTCTCTCTCTCTCTTTCCCTAATGAAATTTTGAAAAAATGATTATTTTCGATCGACGAAGGAAAGAAAAAAAAAGAAAGCAAACGAGCATAAAATAATTTTGTTTTATTTCTATATTTCGACGAGAGAGAGAAGTTCAACGAATTGACATTCGAAGTATGAACACGAAACTCGAATAAAACGAGAAGATGTGACGCGCGCACGGCTGTCGGCGGCCGACTGAGTGTCTACGCGGGTGAACCGAAAGGACCAAGTGGTGGTGGCGGCATATGAAGAGGTGGTGGAGGAAGAGGAAGGGGAGGAAACCGAAGAAGAGGAAAAAGAGATGGTTTGCTAACCTCCAGCAGGGAACCTCCGACTGGCCTCAACCTGTGCTACACATTTCTTCTTTTTCTTATTCTTTTTCTTATTCTTTTTCTTATTCTTATTCTTATTCTTATTCTTATTCCTCTTCCTCTTCTTTTCTTTTTCCCTATTCCTCTGTTCTCCTCTTCCTCTTGCTCCACCACCTCTTCTTCTTCTTCTTCTTCTTCTTTAGCTTCCAGGCACCCTGTGTCGCTTAGAAGGGGACCTCGTTGTACCGAAATAGTGATAGAAACGCTCACCGAACGGTTCACACCGCTTTGATTTACGTTCCTGGACTTCCTTTCGTTTTGTTGAATTATGACTATGCGTTGTATACGTTGGATTACGAGCATATTCGAGTAGAGAGAGACTTCGGTTTTTAAAATAGATTTTAATTAAAGGATTTATTTTCTCGTCAAATTTTTCTTTTCTTTTTTCATATATTTCCAAAAGGAATCCATCCGATATGACGTTTTATTTCGTTTAATTATCTAGGAATATTAATAACAAAGAGTAAAATAGAGACAATGCTTTTTTGCAACCATAAGAAATACAAAAATGTGTTACTTCTGATTCTGCGATCTAGAAAACACGATCATTGTCATAAACCTGATCGATATGTTTTTTCTCTTTTTTTTATTAATATAATGAATTCTCTCCCCTATATTTTTTTCTTTCTAAATATACTCCGAAAAGCTTTCAAGTTGAACAATCAGAGATCAGAGATGAAAATATGTCGGGTAAAAACTGGTAGATAGGTACTGGGTGCGCGCTCGAGGTTTCGGTACAATGACGTGTAACGCTTGGGACAAGAACAGGTGGATGCTGTGTACTGTGAACGAAACACACCAAGTGTTACTGAATTAGAACGTCAGCTTTGCCTAGGTATTTTCATTTTATTATTGCTATCCACATTTTTATTTGTATTTTATCTCTTTCTCTTTTTTTTTAATATATCTCTATAATTTATAATTTTATATATTCTTTACACTCGCACTATAAAGTAGAAAAGAAAAAAAAGAAGACAAAAATAATAAATATAACAATAATATAAGAGATAAATCTCATAGAGACTCTCTCTTCTCATATTTCTTATTCATTTACCCTAGGTCATGGTAGATGAAACGTGAACCTTGGAAAATATATTATTTTTTTTCCCGATAGAAAAAAGTAATCGAAGTAACAAACTTGAAAAAGTTGTGTCTTCTTCTTTCTCTATTGTTTCTGCTTGTTTCATTTTCTTTTTCTTATCTTTAGTTATCGATAAGCGATAAGGAAAGGATCGAAGGATGCCGATCGACTAAACTCTTTCTCTTGGCACCCTTTAGGATGACGCGCGAGAGATGGTCAAAATATAGGCGCGCACACGGCCTCCTATACGCGGATATTGTAAACGGGCCAGTGTGTTCCTGACGTGTCGATATATTCTCGCGAAGAAAAGCCCTGCTGTTGAAGCTGAGAAATAGCTTGCTTTCACCACCCTCCCCTCCCCTCTCACTCTCTCTCTCTCTTTCTCTCATACTTCTTCTCTACCCTTCCAACTTACCTCTATCCCAGCATCCAGCCTCACCTCGGAAGAGGGTACACCTTCACCTCTGTCTATCTATTTCTCTTTCTCTCTCTCTCTCTTTCTCTTCCTCTCGATCTTTGTCTCGCATTCCAACAACCCTTCCGGGAATTTTCTCCAAAGAAGAATCATCGTTGTCCTTTGCAAATGTGAGATTGCCAAGGAGAATGTGAATTTGACGTTCCTGGATAAAATTTGGAATGATATTCGATAATATATATATATATATATAATATATAGATTACGATAATATATATATAAATATTAATTAATATTTTGTCTTGCGTATATATGTCCTATCTTTCTTTTAATTTTTGTACAATTTCTTTTTATTTTTAGATCGGCCAATTATCGAAGAATATATAAGACAAAGTCAAGGCACCGGTTGATTATACCAATGCGTAATATAACGCGAAAAATAAACCGATGAAATGTTGAATTTATCAATTATCTATATTATCTTGGATTAATGGGAAATGATCTTGTTTTATTTTTGATTAATTAATAACTAAAGTCCTATGACACACATATTTATACAGAATTGAAAATTACTTCAGACGATGAACTTATAATTAGATTAATTGGCAAAATATCGATGTTATCTATGGAAGTATTGTTGGTTCCTTGAAGGGATGATGGGGGTCACGTTCCTCCAGATCGTCGTGCGTTCCTTCGTCGAGGTCTCTTCTAGGTATTCAGGTTGGTTATGCTCGCGCGCACGCCCGGTCCTGTCCCATTGTTGTACGTATTATTAGCACTTCGTCACGCTCCTGTCATTGCCATACGCACACTCGTAGGTACCAAGCGAGATTCCAAATTCTCGCTTCTCGATTCTCGATTTTCTCGTTTACGAGCCCACCGATCTTCTTTTCTTTCTTCGTCCCTGCTTTTTATTTTTCTCTACTTTTTTTTTCCATATATATATACTGGTTATTTCAAAAGTCGCTTCATTGAAAATAGAAAACCCCCCATGATGCAATCCGTACGTAATCTTATAGAAAAGGAAATCATCGTCGAACACACGGAAATAAACTCGGTAGATAACAAAGAAAATATTATTGAAACGCAAGACTCGAATGGGGACACATGTTTGTTGTACGAACCCTTTTTTATTCCTCCTCCACTTGTTTTTCGGTTTCCTGTTTGACCCCCTAAGTGGGTCCCACATATTATGAAATATTCCGTATATATTTTGTTGTCCTAATCTTAAATTGGATTTTCCATAGATTTGTCAAAGTTTATTACATCGTCAAATCCTCGTTTAATGCTAACGATATATAATTAGAATAGAAAATTCAAAAGTTTTAGCGATGAGCAGTTTATCAAATCGTTTCGTGTTCTGACATAGACCGCGACATTGGATTAACGCCGGCGCTAATAACGAAGCGCGAATTAGTCCAGAAACTAATCTAAGTTTTGGTTAGGAGCTCAATTTGTCGGCAATGTCGAAGAAACAAGGAGAGAAAGAGAAAGAGAGAGAGAGTTCAGTTCATTTACCCGATACAACTATGACTTCTCTTCGTGAAACACGTAAACTGTCTTCTCTCTCCTTTTGGGCCTCTGTCTTGGAAAATTATATGCTCTGGACTTTCGATTAAATTCGGCTCGTCTCTATACACTTTTATTATCGATTTACGATTTATTTACTTGTTATATTCCTAACGTCGATAATTCTTTTCTAGACTCATTAATAAATTCGTATTGCAAAGAAATTGAACAAAATCTTATGAAAAATTAACTTGTGTGTGTAGTTATTCAAATGATTTATCATAATATTCTTACATATAAGAACGATTTCTTACGCGATTTATATGAAAAAAAAAATGTTGTTGAATATAAAAATTATACGCGGGTAAAAATTAAACGAAAAAAAAAAAAAGAGAGAACTCGAATCGAAGTATATATTATTTCAGCGGGATTTTCATGAAGCATAGATCATTGAGGAGAAGGAAGGGGGGGGGGGTCTCGTCGATGTTAACGAGCCTCGACCGATTCGCGGCGGTTAATTTCCAATTTATTGTGGAATCCGCTTCTCTCTCGTCGTCGTAACTTTCGTTCGTTGATGGCGTCAATCGCAGGAGAATCCCAATGGCCGTTTTACACGGTCAACTCGGGGATCGAATGTACTGCTAATTTACGACTTATCGGCGGCGATAGTCGGTGTAATTTTCACGAGTGCGAAAATTACAACGTCGGTGGCCCATGGTCTACAGGCCCTTCCCCCCTATCTCTCTCCCCCTCACCCCTTTTCTCACTCTCTCTCTCTCTTTCTCTGAAAGTGACGCGAAATCGTGCTCTCGGCACGAGCTTGTACCGGGATGTCGATACCACGAGGAGCGGATGTCAATAGCACGAAGTCACTCCTATCGCGAGCAAAAGAGAGAAAGAGAGAGAGAAGCATATCAGTTGATTTTGCAGCGCTTTTACGGATATATCGCTTTTGTACTCGCGTAAATCGTCATCGGCACCACGGCAAATCCCTAAGAAATTCTCTATGATCCATATCTTAAGAGACCCGCATAGTATCTTTTTTTCTTATTCGAAAATTAATTCTTCTTAACGATTTTTATCGTTTTACGACTATATTATGATATTATAAAATAATGGAAAAAAGAAAAAACAAAAAAAAATTAATAATTAATTCTATAAAAAAACTTTGTTAATGTTTTTACGTAGAAAATGAGAGATTTTGTTCGCATAAATGTAAATCGTCTTTAAAGGTAGAGGTAGAAAGAAAAAAAATAAAGAATATTTTGAATGGAAAGAATTATGCTCTAATGACGTGTCCACAGAGAAAGTATATAATATATGTTAACATCGCAAATCGGTCTCCTCGAAGCTTTTCTCTCTCTTTCTCTTTCACTCTCTCTTTCACTCTCCCTTCCTCTCTTGCTGTCAGTCTCTTTCTCAGTACAAGCTCAGTAGTGCCTCGGTTCTACAGTTAAAATCTCGTCGACGACTTCTTTAGCCGGACTGTGAAGCACTTGGAAAAGTTCAATCCGGAGTGCTGCCGGTGACACTCTCCATCGAGTTAACGGGCGTGCTCGAAGCGTGCTCTTGTATTACTTTGCATCGTCGGTAAACGTTCCAGCTTTTCTGCCCCTCCGTTTCTCTCTCCCTCTCTCTCTCTCTCTTTTTTTTCCATGTACATACATACGCATACCGATACAAACACGCATCATCCAACACACGTACAAATATATACTATTTTATTTATTTATGCACATACAAAATATTTTTTATACTTTTATTTTTATTACACGCAGCATCCTATTTTTCCTACCCTAATTTTATTTTGTACAAAGTAACGAAATTCCGTGAAAATTCATAAATTTGCAAAACTTCAAGTTGTACGTGATGAAAGATCACGTGCGAGTGATCATAAGATAAAGGACACGAGGAAACGGGTAAAAAGGGATAAGAGACTTGAGTGCAATACGTTTGAGGAAGAAGAAAGCTGACTAAATTGGAGTTAGGATAAAGCGCGGAAACAGCTGTTTAAGCTTATCCGGTTCACCTGTTCTATTCGATATCCAGTTTCGTCCTTGCCACACAATCCTATTCCTGCCCTGTGAAATATATTTCTATACCGAAGAGCGTGCTTTCTCTCGACACGTTGAATAATATCTAGAGTTAGCTAGTTACCGTCAAATTAATAATAAATTTCTTATGATTTGATCGTAACATTGATTACAAATTTACAATTAGAATTAAAATAAGGAAAACGAAAATTTTATTCGAAGGGCCATTCTGGTCAAGTGGTACAAAAATTAAAGTATTTTATCGTAATATTCTTTCTTTTTCTTCGCATTTTTATGTAGAAGGACCCTGACTGCAAAAAAAAAGAAAAAAGGAAAAGGAAAAGGAAAAGGAAAAGATTCTTTATTTGTGAAAAATTTGTTAAGAATAGACTTAAGAGATATCTGAACCGTTTGGGTCGTAAAGTGTGTTGAAGAAAGGTCTGTTCAATGTATTGTCTAATTTTTTAGGACATTTTAGAAACCCAAGAATTCACCAAAAGCTTCTGAAACAGAGGTAACAATAGACCATGGAATTTGATTTACTATTTCAATGTGAAAATTCAAAAAATACTGAAGGCAAAAAGTATCCCATATAACAATGAGCCTAGCTCAAAGTAACGTCTAACGAAATTTGAACACAAAATCGAATCTATAAGAATCAAAAAAACGATCAACACTTATATACACATTGACAAAAAAAAAGAAAAACAAAACAGATAGGACATCATTTCAAACAAGACACATACATGAGATTTGATTTTACGAGAAAAATCAAATCTCTGTGTAGTTTCGAGTCACGTTCGTTTAGCATTTTATTTCCAAATGTCCAAAAGAACGCCGGGATAAAAAAAGGATGGTCGAAAGGGAAGAGATAGAAAACAGCTGAGACGCAGCTGGTTTGTAGCATCGCGACGATCCACGTCTTTCTGTGATGACGAAAGCTTCCCTAGTAGATATACGTGTGAGAGACATACACACGCGTGATCATATATATGTAGTATTATCGAAAACAGAAAACAGAAATGGAATTTATTTCGAAAGGCTATTCTCTTCTAGTTAATTAGTTACGAAAATATATAGAAACAAATCACTGCGCTATTTTTAATGAAATACAAAAATAAACGAGACTATTTTTGAAATACTTGATTACATATAACGGAAACTAATTCATTACCAGTAACAACAATTTTTATAAGTTTGATTTATAATGTATAATTTTGAGCAACGACTCAGTCGGTAACTCAAAACTTGATCATAATACTATATTAACCCTTTAGTTACAACATGCTTTGGCGCAAGTATCGTTCTATATAAATTCGCTTGTATCGTCACATGGTACGACCCCTATATGAATTTTAGATATTTCCTTACAACGTTGAAAATATTTCATTAATCTTATATTAATTAATTGAAATAATGAAAAGGAGAGTAACGTAAGTAAAACAATTTGCATGCAATCAATTACACAGTAATACTAAATTGATACAACATTTAGATAATTAAACAAGTACAATTAAGTATATTTACATCTTAATTAGTTGGAATATTTCATCACATCATTTTGCTACCCGTGTATTTGGTAACAGCCTTGGTACCTTCGCTAACAGCGTGTTTAGAGAGCTCACCAGGAAGTATTAATCTTACAGCAGTTTGTACTTCCCGAGATGTAATAGTTGAACGATGGTTGTATAGAGCCAATTTCGATGATTCCGCAGCAATACGATCGAAGACATCATTAACGAAACTATTCATAATTCCCATAGCTTTGCTCGAGATTCCAGTGTCCGGGTGTACTTGTTTCAATACTTTGTAAATATAGATTGCGTAAGTTTCCTTTCTTTTCTTCTTTTTCTTCTTATCGACTTTATCTATTATATTCTTCTGAGCTTTACCGCCCTTTTTTATCGCACTACTGTTAAGTTTAGTCGATACACTAACTTTATTGCTTTTCGGTGCCATAGTAGAAAAATATATTTTTTCTTGTAAAAACGAACGTTGAACTATTCAAAATTTCTTGAACGAAACAACCAGAGAAACAGAAAATTGTGTTATGTGCCCTTTTTATATATGCGGTAGTAGTTGGAACAGACCAATCAGAACGTAGCAGCGTTTGGCGCGCTGCTATTCGTGCCTGGAGAGAAAGAGGGGATACATAAATACCTTAACTTTCCCATCATTTTTTGTATGCTACTAAAGCGTCAAACGTAAACGCGTATTTGATTTCCCAGTAAACTTGGAACTTGAATTTGAATATGTCGGGACGTGGTAAAGGCGGTAAAGTGAAGGGTAAGGCAAAGTCTCGTTCGAACAGAGCTGGATTACAATTTCCAGTTGGTCGTATTCATCGATTGTTGAGAAAAGGTAATTACGCTGAACGCGTTGGTGCCGGAGCACCAGTTTACTTAGCTGCAGTAATGGAGTATCTTGCTGCTGAAGTTTTGGAATTGGCTGGCAATGCTGCACGCGATAACAAAAAGACGCGAATTATTCCAAGACATTTGCAATTGGCCATTCGCAACGACGAGGAATTGAACAAATTGTTGTCCGGTGTAACCATCGCTCAAGGCGGAGTTTTACCAAACATTCAAGCTGTTTTGTTACCCAAGAAGACTGAGAAGAAAGCATAATTAATGATGGCCGAATAAGAATTTGAAAAGAAAAGAAGAACATCAAATAGTATTAGCCTTACAAGTATATATGTATACAAAGAAAATATTTTTATTTGTTCACAAACTACTTTTGGTGGGACTTCCTGGTCGAAGAGTAAAAAAAAGTTTTTAAAATCAATGACAAAAGTATTTTAAAAATGTTTAAGAGAAAAATATTCCATGGGACCAAATCTTAATAGCATTGAGTACCTTAAATCCGAAATGTTTACACAAATATATTACATTTATTCAAGATCGATGTGGCGCATTGTCTCAACTTAATCTTATTAAGAATAAAAAAAGCAATAATGTTATGGCACGTTGGAAACTTCATTGAATGTACTGAAATAAAACATACTTTCTATCTAATTTATTTAAATAAGATGGAGTGACCAAGTCGACATAAATAATTGTAAGCATAAATATACATATATACATATATATATATATAATTATATATATATATATATATATATATATANATATATACATATATATGTAACGCCATAATCTTCGCATATGATACACAAATTGTAGACATTTTCTATTTATGTATAATTTGCATGTGTTTTTTTTTACTACTTATTATAATCATACACAATTCGTACGCATTACTTTGAAAATGATAAACGATCACTACTCTTCACTATTTCATACCTGTTCATAGTAATACTTATATGGCTACTCAATGACTATGTATAATATGTATATATGTATACGTGTAATGTAAAATAATACATGGTTGTTTTTTTCTTTTCCCGATTTTTTGTTTTTTTTTCTTTATATAAAGTACACCATGAGAGAGATAGAGAGAGAGAGAGAAAGAGAGTGAATACGATTTACAAGAAATAAATTACATTACAATGCTACTGTTGCGTAATTCTAAATACCGGCCCGATCCTTAGGAAAAACCTACGAAGAACCGAACGTAATTCTGGCTTAAGATCAAAACACATGACTTCGCAAAGCAGAGGATAACAACTAGATGCATGTACGGCAAATCGACTATCGCTCATTTTAAGAATTCTAGTTAAAAGTAAAAGAAGTATAGGTGTCCACGCATCGATATGCATCTCGTTAGAAAGAGCAAGGAAATATTCTAATGCCTCGCAAGCTACTTCGACTAGAAGCGTTTCTACTTTAGCCCAATCGTTTCTATGAGCCTCGTCGCTGTACATTTTAAAAAGAATACGAAGAGCACACGCCAGAGATTGTATTTCTTGATTCAATAAACCAGTTTCTGATTTCATATTGCAATAAAAACCAGATTTCCAAAGAAGTTGGCGTTGTTCGTGATTGGAATTGAAAGTTTTAGCAAAACGATGTGACTTTAATAAACATTCAACCAATTGTAAAAGATGTGTAGTCGTTAACGAACAATACATTCCTTGCTCTTCCTTCTGTTGATCTCCTCCACCTTGAACTCCTAATTCAGAAGGTTTTCCATTGAGCATGTCGGCTTGGGCTAAAGCAAGATTCTCTTGATCTTCTTTTCTCGATGTTGCTGGATAAAATACTACGTTATCTATAGTTTGAATCAATTCCAATTGTACCACACATTTAATTAATAAAGCTGAAAATAACTTGTATTTTGCATTTTCGTTATTCGGTGATGGTGGTTTCCAAGTAATTAAAGCTGTTGGTAATGTACTTTCGAATATATCGAGTACGCAACGACACGTATTATCCCAAGTCTTCTCGTCAAATTTTATTCCATTACTAATAACTAAATTTTCTAAACAATTAGTACCTGACCTAGCGAGCTGTTCATTATCCTGTTGAACGCACCATAGCAATTGAGAATACAATTGACCCAATAAAAGTGGACCTAGCGTGTCATAAAATTGAGAGAATACATCGACAATAGCATAAAGAGCGTGATTACACGTCGTTGTCATCCATTCAGCCTTCTGTAAGATTAATTTTATTTTTACTAAATTCGAATAAATTGAAATTCATAATTATAATTGACGCTATCGTACAAACCTCTGTATGCTGTTCTGGAAGTTTCATATTATCAAATATTCGGAAGAGCACTTGAAATAGATCTTTCCACCAGTGCGGTTTAAACGATGCGCCATGAGTTTTGACAACATCAAATAAAACAGTTAGTGCCCGTGTTCTTACATCCAATTTGCATCTACTTACAACACACGATAGTTCGAAAAGTAACGGGAACCATCCTCTCACCTAAATGGAGTATCATTACAACACAAATTTTATATATATATTTTAATTAAAATATATTTATCTTTTATATACCCATGCTCTGTCTTCTTCTGAAACTATTCCACTATCATCCATCATACCCTCGGCAAATAGATTAGGATTAGCAACGATGTAAGATGCGCAAGATCTCATGAGTCTAATTGCTTCCATGCTAGTATCTGGAAAAGAAGCATTGCACGCAAATTCACTGAGGCACTTTACGGCATCTTGGAAGGAGTCAACCATAATACTAAAGTCTTCGGCGTAGAGCTCATCTAAGAAATAATAATTTATGTTAGAAAATAAGACAATAACGTTCTGATAATCAATACAATGAATTATTATAAATAGCTTACTTATTATCTTCCCTGTCATGGAGAAGGCTAATTCAACTACAGACTCGTCACGATCACTTGCTGCGTGATGGAAAACGCTAAATATATTTTTCCATCCAGATCTAATATTCGGAGCTTGAGAATGAACGATTTGTGCTACGCATCGAACGACCATATCTCTGATAACTGGAGATCTATTCTTCTTCATAATATGTTCGAATGGCCTAAGAAAATCTTTTTGGAATCTAAAATTAGCAAATTCGCCTTTCTCTATAAATTTCGTAGCCAACTGCCTGAGAGAATCCACCGCGAAAAATGCTATTTCTTGTCGAGGACTGCAACCAACTCTGTCAAAGTGGTCGCCAAGAACTTGCCATATTCTTGACCATTGAAGCCTTATACGACCCATGTTATAATAAGAAATTTCAACTATTTTCGTCAACGAGAACATTCGGGGTTGCGTAGGATGTGATAATTCTTCTAAAGATACTTGACAAAGTGCTTTTACAAATGCAACTATGGCGTCTCCGTCCAATCTGGTAGAGCCAGTGAATATTCTGTCGACAGCAACAACTACACTTTGAGAACTTGTTTCCCCTATGGATTCCTTCACGCTTGCTGTAAAGAGAACAAATGTTTTTTATATAAAGTTTTAGTTATTAGTTAACCCTTTTTGAGGAAAAGTATTGAATACTTACGATCTAAGGAACTTAAATTAAGGCCGTTATTTTGATACGAGTTATTGTGTGCCAAATTAGTAAAGAGAGGAGATGGAAAATGAGGCTTCGATGGAGGTCCCAGAAGTTGCGGTCTTACTCCTGTTCCAATAAGTTGAGCTAGTTCTAATTGTGAGATACATTTGACAACATCTAACCACGAACTACCAAGATAATTCCCATCAGTGTGAGCAACGGTGATCAATGTCTTTATCGTGTCGATGTTCTTTGCTTTCATTTCCGTAATCGGTGAATTTGCCGTTAGAAGCGTAAATCTAGCCAAAGCTTGAACGTAGGCGTCACGTTCCAACTAAATTGAACAACGAATAATCTAGTATTTCTACATCAGCATTTAATATTTTTAAAATACGTCTGCAAGAGTACTTACTGTCATGTGGAAAATACAAGCTATACGAATAGCACATCTGATGCCATCCAAACATAAAGATGCTATTTCAGGATCATCGCAATCCTGTAATCCAACGCTAAAAGCTGCTAAAAAGGGCGTCCAGGCCATTTTAAACATAGGACGTACGTGTTCTAAATGTTTAGCTGTTGTAAATGGTGCTTGAACATGACTAACAGATTCCATTAAATTTTTTGCCGCAGTTGAAATTACTTCCATTTCCATATTCCATAGGAGTCTACGTTTTTTTTCACTTGAAATTACTGATCAAATGAAATTACTTATTAGATATTTATTTTGTGTATATACAACATGTTTATATAAATTGATATTATTTTGTACCTTGTTTCCCAGGACGATTAGGATTTGATTTCATTTTGATTTCGTTACCAGCTATTTCATCATAAATTTTTGATAAATATTCTTCCGGCAGGTCTTCGTTATCGCTAATGCGACGATTTAATTTGATATATTGCTCTTTCGTCATTTTATTTTTGACTTGAGGAGAATGGAGATCAGTCGTAAGCATAATTATAGAAAAACCTAATATATATGCAGTATCTGCGCTTGTAAACAATCCGTTGCTAAAACGTAAAAAATGTAGCATTAATATATTATAGGAAATTAAAAGTTATTTATTTATTACTTACTTTGGATTACATTCGCAATATCTACTGGCGAACTTTTCCATTAAACGATCAATCTTTTGTGCTTCGCCAGGTAGTCTAAAACCCTCTAGGAAATACCTAAGAGCTGTGACCAAGTCGCGATCCGCAAAATTCATTTGATCTATATAATTATACATTACTTGATTATGATTATGATCACCCAGAAAATCACCAATCGCAGTTTTATCCAATCTTTCATCCATATGAAGCCATCTTGCAACATCTTCAGGGGATGTACCAAGAAGACTTTGTTCTTGTAAATATTGCACTCCTTTACTTGGTTTCCGATTAAAACTAAATTTTAATTAAGCGATATTATTAAAATGGTCTCCATTGTTTTTTTAGCAATGTTAACATAAATTATTTTACTTACATATCAATACCAGCTTCCCAGACTTCCTTTTGTTGTTTCTGTACTTCGTATTGTTCCGGTGAATCTGGTATTTCCTTATTTCCTACGAGACTAGAGTTTGCAGAGGATAAACTACCAGCACTTCCATAACGAGGAAGAGGTGGTTCGAGGGGAAGATCGGGAGGTTCACTAGGCAATTGTTGATCCGCAGGTACGCTTGGATTTACATATAAATCTCTGCTCCATTCGACCATACATTTCAAAATTGAGACCAAACATTCGAGACCACGAATACGCATTGACTTTTCTTGATTCGGAGATGCACCTAACTCTAAAGCTTGACGTCCTTGCGCAATTTTGGACAAATCGTTCACCAATCTACGAATGATAAATTAAAAATGACTTTTAGCATGATAGTTTGACAATACTATGTACGAATAAGTTGAGTAACTACCTTTCAAATAAATTAGCTGCAGAAAGATCACAATCATAGTTTACGTATATATCAACGACACTTTGCGCATCCGCACAGATACGAGTCAGAGCATGGATAACCATCCATTTATGTTCAAAGGAACTACTAGACGTTTCAAGAATGTTCATAAATATTTCCTTGAAAAACACTTCTATTTGCATCTTTAAGTGCACTTTAAAGCGAGCTAAGAGCGCCAAAAATAAAGCT